AAGCCAACAGCAAGACTCTAACATGCAAAGGGTGTTAAAGAACTTTCCTCGTTATGTAAAAGGGGACTGCGTAGAGTCATTTCTGTCTACCTTTGAACGGGCTGCCCGCAATTTCGAGGTACCTGAAGCCAAAATGATGGTGTACCTGAGACCACTACTTTGTGGGGAACTTAGTGAGGTTTACGCTGATCTGCCAGAGACAGAGAGTGCGAGTTACCTCATATTTAAAGAAAGGGTGAAGCTGAGGTTTGGCTTGACTCCTGAACAAAGTAGAAAGATGTTCAGGGAGATCAAAAGAAAGCCAGGAGAAACCTTTTCAAATTGGGAAGCCGAGTGGAAAAAGCCTTAGTGAGATGGCTTGAAGGAAGTAAAACAACCACTTTTGAGGAGTTAAAACATTTAGTTTGTATGAAACAGTTTTATCGACTGATTCCCATACAAATGAGGTGGTTCGTTAAAGACAAGAAGATTAAGCAAGTGTCAGATCTCGCGGCTTGGTTGGATGAGATGGAGCATGACTGGAATGTGAGTCATGGCTCAGGAGCCACCAAGAGACCGAGGGAATGGGTTCCAAAGGAGAAAACTGACGTGGGAAACCAAAATCCTGTCAGGAGGGACCGCGTTCCAGAGATTGCCACAGGAAAACTTGTCTGTTACTTCTGCCATCAAGAGGGTCATAAGAAAACGGCTTGCCCTAAATTAAACACCCAGAAAAGGCCAATTACACCACCAAAGCCAGTTAAGGTGGTTAGGCAAATATCTCCACATGAAGAAAGCCAGTCTCCACACACACAGGAAGAGCCTGTAAAGATAATGCGAGTATGGAGTACTGAGAAAGAGACCAATGGAGATTATTTGAGGGTGATCAAAGTAAAGGGTCAAGAACTAATGGGGTTCAGAGACACTGGGTCTGAAGTATCGCTCATTAGGCCAGAGTTTGTCAAGGAAGACCAGATACTTCCAGGCCAAAAGTACAAGCTGAGAGGAATTTATGGCCCTGTTTTCGAAGTGTCAGTGGCTGAAATCCCAATAGAATACAAGAACTTCTCTGGAAAATGGAGAATGGGACTTTTTAATGATTTAGAAGTTCCAGTATTGTTGGGCAATGATTTGGCTGAGCGCTGTAGACATGTTAATATGATTACCAGAAGCCAAGTTGAACAAGAAGGGGAGGCTGAATACAGTGTTGCTGATGAACAACCATCTACCTCACAAACAGAAAATATCAGCCAAGAAATTCCCTTCAGTTTAAACCAAAGCCATATGAGGCAGTTTGAAGCAGCCCAGCAACATGATGAAAGCTTAAAACCTTTATGGGATGAAGTGGTCCCAGAAAACCACACACCCACAAGTGAAAAGCCAGTTTTGTTTAAAGTTGTGGAGAATAAATTGTACCGAGTTGTGAGGAGACAAAAGGGCCCCAAATTCTTTGAGGAAAGAACACAACTGGTAGTACCACAAAAGTATAGGGCTAAAATCCTCAAGCTAGCCCATGATACCACTTTCAGTGGACACCTAGGTATCAAGAAAACCAAAGATCGCATCCAGTCAAGATTTTTTTGGCCCGGAATGGGAGGTGATGTGACAGCCTATTGTAAATCCTGTGAGACTTGTCAAATGGTGGGAAAAGCCAAAGATAAGACAAAAGGACTGTTACAATCCATTCCAGTTGTCACTGTTCCCTTTGACAAGGTCGGAGTGGACATCATTGGCCCTATGTCCCACAAGACGCTTGATGGACATAGATTCATCTTGACTGCCATGGACTTTGCCACATGATACCCAGAGGCAATTCCATTGAAGGAAACCGACGCCAAAACAGTGACAGACGCGCTGCTCAATATATTTGCACGCGTGGGTTTCCCCAGATCTATCATTACAGATCTTGGAGCTACATTCATGTCCCAGATGATGCAAGAACTGTTCCGGACCTGCAAGATCAAGCATCTAACTTCTACTCCATACCATCCTCAAAGGAGTTATTATAATAGGCATACTAAACAGGATAGATTTTCTGCTTAGTGATAACCTAGTTCTGGTATGCATAATTAGTTTCAGATAGACTTATTTTTCTGCCAGTATGTATGTTCCCAGATGGTAGTATGGTTCTCTATATTTTATTCCCATTTATTATCCTTATCTGGTTGAGCATCTGCTTATTGACCAATAGCCATAAGTACCTCATCTAGTATCTTTCACTAATAGCTCTTGCTACTGGTTTCCTCGGGTGCATCTACACTATATTATTAATGCAATTTCACATCACTTTAGCTGTCATGGCTCAGTGCTATGGGATCCTGGGAGTTGTAGTTTTACAAGATCTTAAGCCTTCTTTGGCATAAGTGTTGGTGCCTCACCAAAATTACAAACCCCAGGATTACATTCACCGATCCTTGGCAGCTAAAGTGGTGTCAAACTGCATTATTTCTGCAGTGTAGATGCAACTCCAGAGTGTTAGATGTGTTGTGTGAGATCTGCAAAATCCTTTGGCCCAGTCTGAGCTGAATTTAAGGGAGGTGAATGTTCAGGGTCTTTGTGTGTAGCGTTTGAAGTACTTTATTTGTGTTTATTTTCCAGAACACCTTTGGTTGTTCAGAGATGCTGGGACCGATGATAGTCTCCTGGTAAACCAGACAGAACTGTTTGTGGCATCTCACAATGCGAACGGGCAGCCCATATTTGCAAATATTACACTACCAGGTAAAAATGCCAGGGCCTTTTTCCCAGTGAAATAAGATGACTGTGTTTATTCTTACATACTGTAAAAATGATATGCAATTCTATTTGACTAATGACAAAAATGTTCTAATTCTGTAGACTGGTACTGTGACAGTTGGTAAGCAGTCCTCCCATTTCTTTTTGTTCGGGAGGCATTTTAGATGTTCTCTGTTGTATTTAGTTTCCATTTATGTTCAGGTCAATAAATCTTACCTGTAACTATGTTAATTTGAAGTTATTGTTGCTATTTTGATGCTGTTTTTTAACCCCCAGTTTTACATAGCTGTCTTAGGGCATAACTTTCCAAACAGCTATATCGGAATTTAAAACACAACTGAAGATCTATCTCTTCAGTTTTAGCTATGAATTTTAAACTCTTTGCTGTAATGTAATCTTTATTCTGAATATTTTAATATATATGTATTTCATAGGGATAGGTTTTAATACATGTAATATTATATAATGTTTTATGATTATGTGTTTTAGCTATGTTGTGTCCTGCCTTGAGCCACAAGGAGAGGCGAGTAAGAAATAAAATTGTTGTTGTTGTTATTTTATGTTGGTGACCCACTTTTTAGAAAAGCATCATTTTGCCACGCAATAATTGATTTTACTAGCAAACTGGAGGCTAAACCAACCCCTTATAAGAGATACAGGCACATACAAACGTTTTAATGTGGCAACACAGCATATCTCCTGAAAACCTTTGTCTCTCTCTCTCTCTCTCTCTCTCTCTCACACACACACACACACACACACACACACACACACACACACACACACACATATATATTACTGTATATCCTCAAGTATAAGTAAAACCAAATATAAGTTGAGGCACCTAATTGTACTACAAAAAACTGGGAAAACATATTGATTCGAGTATAAGCCTTGGCGGGAAATGCAGCTGCTACTGGTAAACTTCAATAAAAACAGGTACCAATAAAATAACATTAATTGAGGAATCAGTAGGTTAAATGTTTTTGAAAATTTACATCAAACTGTAATTTAAGATAGGATTGTCCAGCTCTGACTAAACCATTATTCTACCATCTTCAGTGTAAATGTGCTTACTTATCCTTCCAATAATAATAGAGTAAAATAATAATAAAGTAAAATAATAGAAATGTAATAATAACAGTAATAATAAAGTAAAATAATAAATGTAATAATAATAATAGAGTAAAATGATGCGAATGTAATAATAATAATAGAGTAAAATAATGTAGTAATAATAATAATAATAATAATAATAGAGTAAAATGATGCGAATGTAATAATAATAATAGAGTAAAATAATGTAGTAATAATAATAATAATAATAATAATAATAACAACATCAGAGTAAAATAAATACGTTTGATTCGAGTATAAGCCAAGGGGGACTTTTTCAGCCTAAAAAAGGGCAGAAAAACTCGGTTTATACTTGAGTATATATGATATTTCACATAGATGCAGCAGCTGATACACCAATGTATCACAGCACAGTTTGGAAATCTCTGGACTAGAAGTTTATGAAGAAATGTTTATTCTTTGACTCTTTCAAGTTATATATTAGTTGTCATTTTTAGACCCACTGACAAGCTGACCTTTCTGTCTTCTTAGTGTTCACTTTGAAAGAAAGATGTCTTCAAGTTGTTCGCACTTTAGTAAAGCCAGTTGACTACCGGAAATTGGACATTGTTCGGTCCCTGTATGAAGATCTCGAGGACCATCCAGACATTGGGAAGGATCTTCGGCGGCTTTCTTTGGAGAGGTTAAGGAACGAAGACCCTGATAGAAATGAAGAGTTATGGAGACCCAGATAAAAAAAGTGAAGAGGGACTGAGATCATGATAGAAATGAAGAATATCTGAAAAAGTTACTTTTGCTAATAAACTGAGGCACACAAAAAGGATTAGCTGTGCTTTACGAACTGAATGTGACCCTTTTGTTGCGGTATGGGACATTCTCTGAGGACACTTATAGGCACATGACAGTGAAATGAGAGGCAGCCATGATGGTTGAATATACTTGGCTAAATCTGCGTAAACCTTGGTCCAAGTATTATTTTTTTCTTCAAGTTGTACACTTGACAAAGGTGTTTTCATATGGCTCCTCCCTTATTTAATCATCTTGTTATAGTTGGTTATGAAACACCTTTTCTTAGTTGAGCAAGTTAAATCTCATACAGAAGGATAAGTTAATCTTAATTGTAACTTGATATGTAATTATTAAGTATGAGAAGTTACTGCTGGGTGGATTTGCTGGGTAGTTGTTTTTTTTACAAGTCCTGTTTCAGATTGTGCTTTCAGTGCATAGAAGCTGTATTCTTCTATACTTATCTTTGGTTTACTGTAAAAATAGTATAGTGGAAACAAAGTTGTAAGTTATATTTACTTTTGGAGGACCATTCTGAGACTCTTGACACAAAACAAGAACCTTATAAGCCTATTGCACAGATAAGTTACTAAACCTGGTCGCAAGTTTCTTTTGAATTATAGAAGTAAATTGAAGAAATATGAATATAATAGCCTAATTTTAGATGCACCAAGTATGCATGAATCTCTGGTCACAATGTGAAAATTGCAAAAGTCTCCTTGCCTTTCCTAACCTCTCCTCAACTCTGTACATTCCTCTACACATTCCTGAGGCATTACAAACCTGGTTAGTGAAATATATTTGCTTTGTTTATAGAAGCATTACAATTGAACTATTGTCCTATTTTTCAGTATCTTATGTCTGCAACTATTGTGTTTTGTATGACTGCAATTATCAAATCATTATATATATATAATCTTTAACATTCGATTTTGTACACTTAATTCCAACTAAAAATGCATCTTGAAGAGGAACCTGTGAAATGGAATTGCTAGCAACATCATTGTGTACTTTATTTGTTGAAATGAATGTTTCCTTCTGTAAAGTTACTGGTTTGTGATGGTGTATATATACTGACTCTGCTCTGTAAAGTTGTTTTTTTAAAACACATGAATTTCTTCATATTTTTATAAGCTTATATTTTAGATTTTGTAAACATGTATGGAATTTTTCCTCATATTTTTTTAAAGGACATACGTGGTTTTACATTCAGCAAGGAGTACAGATTAGGGTAATGTGATAGAGTGCCTGAGACACAGAGTTTGAATCCAATAATCAAGTGTGGGAATCCAACATTGGGCTAATCCCCCCTCCTTCTCTCTCTAGACCTCAGAGGAAGGCAAAGGCCCATCCACTATGAACAGATCTTGTAAAGAAAGCCCCATAACAGGGTTGATTTATGGATCCACTGCCAATATGCTACTTCTGGGAGACAATCATAATAGAATTGCTGTAAGTCGGAAATGACTTGCCGGCACACAGCAACAAGATTGGGTAGAGTTGAAATGAGATATTTTTAGTTGGCATAGGGAAGCCATTGTCAGGAGAGCCTTGCTCAGTCTTTTGATTTCCAAAGGACCATGGTGATTTGCATTTAACAGCAGTGGGTTAGGTTCCTTTGTGCCTTTCACCACTGCTGAATATCTTTTATTTACTTATTTACTTCATTTCTACCCCACCTTTCTCGACCCGAGAGGGTACTCAAGGCAGCTTACAAATCCGGCAAAAATTCAATGCCACACAGATAAACAATAAAACACATCTCATCAAAATATAAACAATTTAAGCATATAAGCAATTCAAATTCTTAACAATCTAGCAAACAGATTAAATGTCTTCTCTGTCCTAGAACTGCAGCAATACCAGGAGGTAGAAAATATAAGACCTGCTTTCAGTAAACAATTATTTACTTCCACACTTCAGTTCTTAGATGCATTCCCATGAGGTGGTCCAGAAGCATACCATGATCAACGGTATTGAAGGCAGCTGAGAGGTCCAGCAGAACCAACAGGGACACACTCCCCCTGTCTAGCTCCCAGCATAGATCATCCACTAAGGTGACCAAGGGTGTCTCAATACCATGTTCTGGCCTAAAGCCAGACTGAGCCGGATCCAGATAATCCATGTCTTCCAAGAATACTTGGAGTTGCCACCACACTTTCCAGGACTTTGCCCCAAAAGGGGAGATTGGAAACTGGCCAATAGTTGACGAATTGAGTGGGGTCAAGTGATGGTTTTTTCAAGGGAGGCATTAACCACCAGCTTCACCCACTTGGCCAATCCCTCTCTGGCTTCCTTTATCAGCCAGGATAGGCAAGGGTCTAGGATGCATGTGGTCGCTCTCATTCCTCCAAGTATCTTGTCCACATCCTCAGGTTTAACTAATTGAAATGAATCCAACAAAATCGGACAAGCAGGTGCTCGTGTTACATCCTCAGAGACTGCCGTTAACATGGTGTCCAGTCAGTAGTTGGTGAAAGCATATGCTACCAACTTAGTTTACTCAGGATATATCTACACTGCAAAATTAATGCATCTTATAACTGCCATGGCTCCATGCTGTGGATTCTTGGGATTTATAGTTTTGTGAGGCATGAGCACTCTTTGGCAGAGAAGGCAAAAGACCTTGTAAAACTACAGCTCTTAGGCTTCCATAGCATTGAGCCGTGCCTGTTAAAGTGGTGTCAAACTGCATTAATTCTACAAAATGGATGCACCCAGGCTCTAAGATAGTACAAGATCCTTTTGCGTGCTGATATGCCTAACCTCTGTAAGCAATGGTGATAGGTAGTCCCAGTAATCATGAAATCTGCTGGCAGATTTTTTTTTTACCTTTTCCTGTTTGGCTATTGAGTTAAGTACATTCCTTTTGTTTTCAGAGTAGTACAGCATTGTTCTCCTTAACGGATGTTTGGATGGGGCAGTGATACAGAGATGATTTGCTGGCTCCTTCCTACTTTTCTCTTCTGCATTGCCTTAAGTTACATTACTTGCTTATCTCAAAACAACGGGATCCTTCAGTAGATACCCGTTTTCTATAAATTGTACAATTTCTATATTTGTTTCTCGCAATGTCAAACTGCAAATTCATGATTATTGTTTTTTCAGCATCTCCATTGAAGTTGCAATCTAAACATACTAGAAAATAAGCCTGATTGAGTGCTGTGGGAAGTAACCACTAAATATCCATGCATTTAGGGTGATATAGTCTTTCTCTATAGATGGTGACAATGTTTGAGCTAGGTGTTCCCACCATGACATATTATTATTATTATTATTATTATTATTATTATTATTAACAACAACAACAACAACACACCTAAACACTTGTGGTATATATCTCATTTGCTGTGTCAAACTGTCAGTAAAATAATAATAATAATAATAATAATAATAACAATAATTTGTCGGTGTTGCAATCCTATGTGACAGCAGAATTGACAAGAAGCAACTGGAAAAGCTTATACGATAAGAGGATTTAAAGATAGAACTGCAAAGACTCTGGCACAAGCTAGTCAAGGTGGTCCCAGTGGCGATTAGCACACAGTGCAGTGCCTAAAGACCTTGGCCTGCACTTAAAAACAATAGGCGCTGATAAAATTACCATGTGTCAGCTGCAGAAGGCCACTCTGCTCAGATCTGCATGCATTATTTGCTGAAACATCACACAGTCCTAGAAACTTGGTGAGTGCCTGACGTATAATCAAATACAAAAGCCAGGATAGTGATCTTGTTTTCTGTGTTCTAATTTTGTTGTGTATCAAATAATGATAATAATAATAATAATAATCACACAGTCCTAAACACTTGGGAAGTGTTCAACTTGTGATTTTGTGATGCGAAATCCAGCGTATATATCTTGTTTGCTGTGTCATACTATGTTTTTGTGTCAGTAAAATAATAATAATAATAATAATAATAATAATAAAGATCTAAGTCGGCATTTGGAAAAAATAAACATTGACAAAATCACTATCTGTCAACTGCAAAAGGCCACCTTACTTGGATCTTCGCACATCATTCGAAAATACATCACACAGTCCTAGACGCTTGGGAAGTGTTCAACGTGTGATTTTTTGATATGAAATCCAGCATATAGATCTCATTTGCTGTGACATACTGTGCTTTTGTGTCAGTAAAATAATAATAATAATAATAATAATAATAATACTTTATTTATATACCATCCTTTTGGGGAGAAAGGATGGTACATAAATAAAATTTTGTTGTTATAAAGGGCTGTAGCACAGCTGGTTAATCACTAGCAGCAATAAATCACTGCTGACTGGAAGGTGGCAAGTTCAAAGCCCAAGTTGGGTTTGAGCTCCTGACTGTTAATAACCTAGCTTACTGTTCACCTAAGCATTTCGAAAACAGCTGAGCTGTGAGTAGAGAAATTAGGAACCGTTTAAAGCGGGGAGGTTAATTTATAGCACCATAAAAAATACTGGAGATCAAAGAGCAAAAAGGAAATACTACGATTAAAGGCTTGGCATCATAGTGGATGAAGTTACAGCTCCCTCCGTGGTTGGAATCGAGCAACCTACAGGAGCTGAAGTGCTGAATTACTTCTATCTGTTTGTATGTCTAAAAGTGTGCATTCTGATCCGCCCCGGGTCCCCTTCGAGGTGAGAAGGGCAGAATATAAATACTGTAAATAAATAAATATGGTGGGGACACCTAGATCAAACACCTTTATTGTCACTGTCTCTACTCCCAGGTGAGTGTCCAAATAGTGGGGATAACAGCATGCAATGTATATATTTTTTGATCCTGCATAAAATGTCAGAACAAATAACTATTTTTGGAAGATAGATGAGCAAACCAATGGTACAATACATAGTTTGGACACACTTGTCTGTCTCTTCCTATTTATGATTATCAGTAAGAGTGAAGTTGCCTCATTGCAGAAGTTCATTGTATTTCCTGCCAAGAAATATAAGTAAGTTTTTCAAGATAGCTCGTGGCGCATATAATCAGAGAAGAATTTTTTATTGCAGAACCCTTCCTGTTTTGGCTGTAAAAAAAACAAAAACTTTTGACTTCAAACAAGTGACGTCATAAAGAGGGCAGAGAAGGGGAGGGGGAAATAACCTAATATGATTGGCTCTTCGTTTTGTCACTCCACCCCTTAGATAAATGACTGCGGAACCTTCCACACAGCAGAATAAAATCCCACATTATCTGCTTTGAACCGGATTATATGACAGTGTGGACTCAGATAATCCGGTTCATAGAATCATACAATCAAATAGTTGGAAGGCACCTCATGGGCCATCCAGTCCAACCCCCTGCCAAGAAGCAGGAATATTGCATTCAAATCACCCCTGACAGATGGCCATCCAGCCTCTGTTTAAAAGCTTCCAAAGAAGGAGCCTCCACCACACTCCGGGGCAGAGAGTTCCACTGCTGAACGGCTCTCACAGTCAGGAAGTTCTTCCTCGTGTTCAGATGGAATCTCCTCTCTTGTAGTTTGAAGCCATTGTTCCGCGTCCTAGTCTCCAAGGAAGCAGAAAACAAGTTCGCTCCCTCCTCCCTGTGACTTCCTCTCATATATTTATACATGGCTATCATATCTCCTCTCAGCCTTCTCTTCTTCAGGCTAAACATGCCCAGCTCCTTAAGCCGCTCCTCATAGGGCTTGTTCTCCAGACCCTTGATCATTCAAAGCAGATATTGTGGGATTTTCTGCCTTGATATTCTGGGATATAGGGCTGTGTTGGAATGTAGAAATAATGCGGTTTGGCACCACTTTAACTACCATGACTCATGGGATTTGTAGTTTTAGGGGGTCTTGAGCCTTCTCTGTCCAAAAGAAGTCTCACCAAACTACAACTCTTGGGACCATACAACCCAGAATATCAAGGCAGAAAAATCCCACATTATCTGTTCTGGACTGGGTTATCTAAGTCCACACTGCCATATAATCCAGTTCGAAGCAGATAATGTGGGGTTTTATTCAGCTGTGTGGAAGGGCCCCCAGCATTCATAAGCACTGAGCCACGGGAGTATGAAGCGGTATCAAACCGTATTGGTTCTACAGTGGAGACGCCCCCAAGTGCGGGAAGCGCCTTTGCGTCAGGAGTGGAGGGGCACGTGTCACGTCTGAAGGGCGGGGCGAGACCCGGGAAAGCCCCTGCGAGGCGGCCAAAGGAGCATGAGCTGGAAAGGCGAGTTTCCAAAGAGGAAGGCGGCGGAGGAGTCTCGCTTGAGTTGAAGGGGTTGGTCTGGATGGCCTTTGGGGTCTCTTCCAACTCTTCCCTGAGTCTATAAGGAAGGCGCCTCTCTCTCTCTCTGCCGGGATCCCCAAGGCCAAAGGCGGCGAGGAGGGAATGGAGCCCCCCGAATACATCCACGGCATCCCCGCCTGGGTCCTGGAGGACTTCTGCCAGAAGATGGACTGCCTCCACGACTACGACTGGATGCGCTTTGGTGAGCCCATTTGGTGGCCTCTCTCGGGGTGCAGCCACACTGGAGCTTTCCCCCCCCCCCGCAGCTGCTTAAGAATGTTAGAATGCTGAGGCTGGCCAATCAGAAACCATATGTAAATTAGTAGGTCGAGATAACTCATGCATGGGCCAACTTGGGCCCTCCAGGTGTTTAGGACTCCAACTCCCACCATTCCTGACAGCCTCAGGAATGGTGGGAGTTGGCAGCTGAAGGGAAAAAGGAAAGGGTCTGAGGCTGTCAGGAATGGTGGGAGTTGGAGTCCAAAACACCTGGAGGGCCCAAGTTGGCCCATGCCTGCTATAGACCTTGTAAAACTACAACTTTCCAGGATTTGTTTCCATGCTTTTCATGATTACATGGAGCACCGTTACCTTCCCGCAGAAGCAATACCTATTGATCTACTCACATTTGCATATTTTCGAACTGCAAGGTTGGCAGAAGTTGGGGCTAACAGTGGGAGCTCACTCCACTCTCCGGATTTGAACCGTTTTGGTCATCAAGTTCAGCAGCTCGGTGGCTTAACCCACTGCACCACCAACTTAACATACAAATTCAACTTAAGATCAAACCTGCCATTCATAACTTGGGGACTTCCTGTATGTGCTACTACAGAAATTATTTACTTGTTATTCTTCCCACTTTTTCTCCAAATAACACAGTATTCCCCCTTACCTTTATCCACAATCAGAGGATTGTAAGAGATGAAGGTGATATGAAAAATGTCTTTTGTGCTCTTCTGTTTACCAGCCTCAGTCTCTGATTGATTGATTGATCTGTTATTTCCAGCAGGCCTGTCCTCCAAATATGTTTATCTACTACTACTACTACTACAAAAAAAAATTAGAATGTAATAGGCAACTTTCCTGCAGCTGTAGACCAAACATGTGCAGTCTGGGGACTGTTGTTGAGGGCCTTTCAAGGAATTTCTGCCTTGTCTGTCATCTTTGGTGAATCTATCACAGGGCTTTCCTTGCAAGGTTTGTTCAGAGAGGGTTTTCAATTGCCTTCCTCTGGGGCTGAGAGTGTGTGACTTGCTCAAGGTCATCCAGTAGGTTGCCATGTCCGAACATGTCTGGTCTCCAGAGTCCTAATCTAACACTCAAACCACTACTTTTTGCTAAACAAAGAAGCTGCATTCAAACCTGAATTTCAAGCTACAAGCTTGGGGTTGTAATGGTTGTTAATCAAATGGATGGATGGAATATTTCGCTTTGCAATTCATTCTTTATTTAAGTATTTGAATACCTTGGTTTATTCAGCTTTCACGCCTGAGAGCATCTTCAGGTTCAATGGAAGTTGTCTTATACTGAGTCAGACCTGTTTGCTATCCTGTCTGACAGCCTCTTTCCAGACTTTCGGACAGAATTGTTTCCTAACTCTACCTGGATCTGGTCTGCATTGAACCTGAAACCTTTGCGTGATTGGTAATTATTATCTTAAGACTCACACCCATTCAATAAACCTGTAAGTTAAGTGCAGACACACAATACCTGTTTAATTTATGAAACCGGGTGTCATGCAAGAATTGAGATGTCATGGGAGCATCGGGAGTCAGCAACAAGCCTGCCTCTCAGGAGATTCGAGGCCAAATTTCCATGATTGGAGCCTTGAAAGGGTTAGGGTTTTTAGTTTAAACACTGCTAACATTTTAATTCGGAAAATGAAGGGTATGTGAACCAAGTTTGGTCCAGGTCCATCAAGCCACGTAGAAGCCTTTGAGGTATGAACACACATGCGTACGTATTTTCACTTTTATTTGTATAGATGAGTCTATTAATAGGATGAATATGAAGAAAGCCTTTCAGAGGTGGAGTGGAAAAAAATCGTGTTGCATCTGAGTTCTCCTTTGTGGTTTTCTTTGGGAAACATCTGGTTATCCAGCATGGCAAGCAGGATGCTGAACTAGATAATAGAGTTAGGAAACGTTATCATTGTGGACTACAGTTCCCAGAATCCCCCAGAAACCAGTGTGGCCACCAGGGAGACAATGAGTTAAACCCTTGTGCCAGCAGGACCGAAGACCAACAAGTCGGAGATTTGAATCTCGGGAGAGCTCCCTCTCTCAGCTCCAGCTCTCAATGCAGGGGCATGAGAGAAGCCTCCCACAAGGATGGTAAAAACATCAAATCGTCTGGGCACCCCTGGGCAACGTCCTTGCAGACTGCCAATTCTCTCACACCAGAAGTGACTTGCTGTTTCTCAAGTCGCTCCTAACACTAAAAATGAAAATGAAAACAAAAAACCAGGGAGGTTCTGAGTTGTGGTCCAAAGAAGTAATTTTTCCAAGCTCTTCTACAAAGACTCTTCGAATGCAGGAAATTTCTTATGTAATAAGACTTTTTGAAAAATACCTTTGTATATCATTTCTGTTTGCATAGTGAGCCACGGTGTACATTACTTGGAATTTGGATACCTGCAGCTCTATTTAAGCGAAAACATGAATTGCAAACTCAGATTTCCTAAGTGTTATGTAGTTGGACCTGATGCTATTCTGTCCAAGTCAGACCATCTGATGAAAAGGTTGTTTAACTCATTTTCTTAATTTAAATAGCATTTGCTTTCTCTTCCATAGCAAAAAAAATCAAATATGTATTAACACAAACCTGTCAGTGTAACTGCATGAAAGTTCTGATGTTTTCATTCACTATTAGGAAAAATCAGTTTTGGGTCAGCAAATGTTGGCAAAGTCTCTAAAATACTATGAATAATGTATTACCTTCCCATGAAGGAAATTGCAGTCTTGCAGATTTCTTCTGAAACTCTTGAGGCAATAAACCCAGTCAAATGTTGTGGCTTGGGGATGTATGTGAAATATCACCAGAATCTATATATATTTTACTATTAAACCCCTGTGCCAGCAGGACTGAAGACCAACAGATCACAGATTCAAATCTGGGGAGAGTGTGGATGAGCTCCCTCTGTCAGCTCCGGCTCTCTATGCGGGGACATGACAAAAGCCTCCCACAAGGATGGTAAAACATCAAAACATCCTGGCGTCCCCTGGCCAACATCCTTGCAGACGGTCAATTCTCTCACACCTGAAGCAATTTGCAGTTTCTCAAGTCACTCCTCACATACACAAAAAAACTATTATAGTGCACACAATTTATACTCCTGATTTCCATCGTCACCAGCATACTGGTCATTCCTAGTTTCTAGGATTTCTTATTTATTTTCATGTCAATAGAACCATAATTAGAACTACTTTAATCAGGACTTTGGGTTGGCTGCTTTTTAAAAGGAGGCCCAGAACACTTGAATGAAGGATTTTGCTTGATTTGTTCCTTTGCTTCTCCCAGCAGGAAATATTTTGTATTTGGAGAAGCAAGCATTATTTGAAGCTTCCCTTTACATTGACTGTACAATGTGAATATCTGAGGTAGAAGTTGCTAGATTATGTTCTTGAAAACTGTAGGATCAATTGTGTGCTGGATATTGCAGAGCTAAGTGATCAAGCAGCTGGAGCAACTCTCTGAAAAGTAACGTTACAAGGTTTGATGATGTTAGTGCTTCACTTGTAAATTCATAAATATTTTTCTAACTTTAAAAACCAAATTAGTGTCAAATTTCTATATGTTATTAATCTAAATATCTACAGTGAGCCTTTTGTATCTATGTTGGGGGCTGTGGGTGGCACAATGGGGGGACTGCGGGTGGCGCAATGGGTTAAATCCTTGTGCTGCTGAACTGCTGACCTGAAGGTTGGCAGTTTGAATCTGCGGGATGGGGTGAGCTCCTAGCTCCTGCCAACCTAGCAGTTCGAAAACATGTAAAGAGATACAAAGGTTCTGGTCATTGGTCCATAAACACATACAAAACATAATAAAAACAAAATTTGACATGAAGCCAGAATACTATTTATTGAACATAACAAACCTTGACCTAAAGAGCAAGGAGGAAAAAAAATTACTTATCAGCAGCAGCAAGAATTCTAATCGCACAAAAATGGAAGATAAAAGAAATCCCCTCAAACGAGGATTGGATCAAGAAGGCAGTAGAATTTATGGACTTGGACAGACTTTCGTACTTGTTAAAGGATCAAAGTAAAGGGAAACAAACCAACTGGAACCAATTAAAAAAATACTTAAAAGGGAAAAATAAACATATAACATTAAATACTAGAAGTCAAATAGAATAAGGAACAAAGTTAGACCATAAGAAGATGTTGAAAACCCCAAGACACAACCTCTGTGGACTGAACGGAAGTCAACAATGGTTTACCACCATTCCTCTCATACTACCTTTCTTCTCCCTTTTTTCCCCTCTTCCCTTTCCCCCTACCTCATACCGATACCTTTCCCCGACGTTTCCCTGACACTCCCTACCCTTACCCCCACTCTATCTTCCTACTGTCCTATTACCCCGATTGTTCCCCCGCTTTCATTGTTAAAGGAAAAAACACAATAAAGATTATTATATATAAAAAAAGAAAACATGCAAATGTCAATAGATCAGTAAGCACTGTTTTGGCAGGAAAAGGCAAAAAAGACGCTCCATGCCAGCCACACAACCAGGAGGTGTCTACGGACAATGCAGGCTCCTCAGCTTAGAAATGGAGAAGAGCACCTTCCCCCAGAACTGGAGATGAGCATTGCCTCCAGAGTTGGAAATGAAATGAGAAGCCTTTGTCTTTGCCTGTATAGTTGTGTCTCATTGTATTTCATTGTGACAAGGCACTGAATATTTGCCTGTGTCTGTGTATTTGCTGCAATCTGCTCTGAGTCTCTTCGGGGAGAAGGGCAGAATATAAATAAAGTGTTGTTGTTGTTGTGTGGGTATTGTTCTGGAAAATGTGGAAACCTAGGAAAAAAGAGAAATACATCATAGGATTAAATGTTGGTGATACGAAATCATACATTTCAGCATGCCTATGTTCACATCACTACCCTTTAATAATATTGGTTGAAATCTTGCAGATTTGGAGGGCCCACTGTACTTTATCTGGCATGTTGTTATCTTAAACCTTATTTTTGAATAATCATGTTTGTTTTCATTGTTGTACGTTTCATAGAGTCCCAAACTGAAGCTATACCCCACACCAGAATGATGATGATGATGGTTTTCTGTTTTAGCATCCCACGTGATAACTGACCAGACTGAACTGCGGAAAATCAAATGCATGGAAAAGGCAGGGATCAGCCGGACAAGAGAGCTGATGTGGTGGTGGGGAGTGAGGCTTGCAACTGTCCAGGAGCTGCTGGACCTTCTGCAAAATCTGCAGCTTTACCGGGCAGCCCAAGTGATCGCTAACTGTGAGTAATTTGGGTTTCTTCTCTTCCAGAATTATTATTATTATTGTCAAAGGCTTTCATGGCCGGAATCACTGGGTTGTTGTAGGATTTTTTGGGCTATATGGCCAGGAGAAAATGCCTCTAGAACATGGCCATATAGCCCAAAAAAACCTACAACATCCTATTATTATTATTATTATTATTATTAAACGGCATTTCAATCCCGCCTTTCTCAGCCCGAAGGAGGTGGCTTACAAATTGGCAGCAACTCGATGCCATAACAATCCACAATAAACAATTAAAACATTTAAAACATAAAATCCATACAAAAACTATTAAAACATATATATAACCAGTGTCTTCCCATTAATCTCATTTTCCAGTACCATCGTCTAAGCCGTTCCGTGTTTCAATCTCACATAATTCCGTGTTTGTCTGTTGCACTACATTTCCAAAAGCTTGTTCAAAGAGCCAGTTTTTTACAATTTTTGAAAGGTCAGGAGGGAGGGGGCCAATCTAATATCCCTAGGGAGGGAGTTCCACAGCCAAGGGGCTACTACTGAGAAGGCCCTGTCTCTCTTGGACCTTATTTTTGAACAATCTTGTTTGTTTTCATTGTTGTAAGTTTCATAAGGGTCCCAAACTGAAGATATACTGCATACCGGGATGACGATGAATTACCTGGCATAGTTTTATAACCGGGGTGGCAAAACCACCTCTAAGTCTTTCTTGCCTGTGAAAAGCCTAAGAAATCAATGGGGTCTCCATAAGTCAACAAGTGACTTGAAGACAGAGTTTGGTACCACTCCAAACCTTCCTCCATTAACTCCTCCTTTTGAAACTGAATTCAGTTGCAGCATTTCAACAGCTTGGGGCCACAAAGTTAGAAGATGGAAGTACTGTTTTAAAATACCTATTATACTCATGTATAAGTCTAGAAACTTCAGTTAAAAAGCCAGCCACCCAAATCTAGGTCAAATTACACTATGTAACATGACTTTTGTTCCTGGATTATAAATGTCATTTCCTAACTGGTTCTAATATAAAAACATTGAAAAAAAATTGCCAAACAGCAAAAACCTTTATTCTGCAGGACATCCTGCAGCACATTTTGCTATAGTTTTTCATTGACCAAGTTAACATAGTTTGTGGCAGGCACATAAACAAAGTTTCCGGAGTATAACAACTGCTTTCAAAGTAAATACCGCACAATTAAACTGGAAGAACCTTTTCAAACCAGGAACAGAAAATCTTTCAAATTTGTTATTGTGTTATTCACGAGTCAGTCTGAGTACTGTGCCTTTGCTCTTATGAAAAAAGGAACCATACCTTTCTCTGTTCCTTTTCTCTGGGTAGTCTGTTTGTCTCTTCTTCCTTCCTATTTATTTTAATTTGTTAGTTTTAAGTTTGTTTGATCTTCTCTGTGTGTTATTTTAGACTTCTTCATTTTTAAAGGTATCTTACTTTGTCCTTGAGTGGCCTTATGATTGTGAAAAATGGGGTGCAATTTACGTATATACTTGAGTATAAGCCAATCCAAATATATGCCAAGGCACCTAATTTTACCACAAAAAAACTGGGAAAACATGTTGACTCCAGTATAAGTCAAAGGTGGGAAATGCAGCAGCTACTGGTCAATTTCAAAATAAAAATAAAACCAATAAACTTACATTAATTGAGGCATAAGTAGGTTAAATGTTTTTGAATATTTAAATAAAACTTTAATTTAAGATAAGACTGTCCAACTGTGATTAAACCATTATTCTAACCTTCTTCAATGTAAATGTGCTTACATAACCTTCCAATAATAATAGAGTAAAATAATAATAATAATGGAAATGTAATAATGACAGTAATAATGAAGTAAAATAATAAATGTGATAATAATAGTAAATAGAGAAAAATAATAAATGTGACAATAATAATAACAGATAAAAATAATAAATAATCTTGACTAAAAAAGGGGCTGAAAAATTCGGCTTATACTCGAGTATATATGATACTTGAAAGAGTTGTTTGTTATAATAATGTGATGAATAATATCCTTGCAGTGTACTAATGGCCCTTTGTTTGAACGTATGTCTTTATACACATGATAATAGAGCTTTGTGTGTCCTGAAACTATTTGTACATGGAGTGCAGTCAACTTTAAGTTTGCTCTCTTCTCTCCCCTGGAAGGGATGAGATATTTCCACTTCCCATTGAAGTCTGAACTGGGGAACTGTGATTTCATACTGTGAAAATGAGCTGTGGCTCTCCTTTCTCCTCTCCCTCCTATCTCAGAGGAGTCTGGCAGCCTCATGCAAGGTCCTGTTGTAAACTATGACTGACACATGGAGCAAGGCTGGAGAATGACTCAGCCCTTATGTGCAATCCTTCCCTTTATTGCAAATTCTTCAGACTTGTGACTCGTAAGACAATAATGTGTTGCTTGGTATGATGAAAAAAGAAGTAATAGTAGAATAAACTGGCAGAAGTCTCTTCCCCTGGCTCTGTCCATAGGCCACAGAGTGAAGAAGTGGGAGGTGAAAGTTCAAGCTTCACCAGTGGGGAAGGAATGGGGAAATGTCCCAATTGCATGTCTGGCCCAAAAAATCCCAAGCCCAGCAAGACGTGAGAAGAGCAAAGAGCGCTCTTGGGACTCTTGTCCACATGATTAAGTTCCAATGAGCCACAACGGCAAACCAAAATACAGAGCTTGTTTTCTTCCATCCACAGGACTCAATCATACATGTCAGGAGTTGTCATCATCATTACTGGCTGAGTATGATTGGCTTCCATGGTTAGAGTCTTGGTGGCAGGGCCCATAAGGGACTGCAGAGACCTATTCTGGATCTGCATGGTCTGTCACAATGAGGACATACATTTCCAGATGGAAGGCAGTCACAACAAGGTTTTGCTTGATGCACCTTTCTCTTTAAATCTCTTGCTGTCCACCAGCATTCCAGTTTCCAACGTGGGTAGTCCAGTGAAGTTGATGGCTGAGAATCAAGGCTTCAATGCAGGTGGCCTTTGCTTCTTCCAGAATGCGGACATTTGTCCATCTGTCTTCCCAAGAGATTTGCAGGATTTTTCGGAGGCAACTCTGATAGAAGTTGAGAGTGACGTTTGTAGACGGTCCATGTTTCACAATCATACAATAGAATTAGAAGGACAATATCTTTGTAAACAAGCATATGAAGAACTACAAGCAAACAATTCCTCAGGTGGAACAGCTTGTGTTTTCCATGCACAGAGTTTCATGCTGAAATTCAGGTTATAACACAAGAAACAGTTTATTCTTATGGGAAAAGCATTCCATAGAAACACGGTTGAACTAATCATGGGGAGTACTATATGTCCGACAGTATAGGCCCTTTGACATTTTGACACTTTCCCACTGTATAATAATAATAATAATAATAATAATAATAATAATAATAATAATAATATCATAGAATCATAGAGTTGGAAAAGACCTCATGAGCCATCCAGTCCAACCCCCTGCCAAGAAGCAGGAACATTACTTTCAAAGCACCCCTGACAGATGGCCATCCAGCCTCTGTTTAAAAGCCTCCAAAGAAGGAGCCTCCACCACACTCCGGGGCAGAGAGTTCCACTGCTGAACAGCTCTCACAGTCAGGAAGTTCTTCCTCATGTTCAGATAGAATCTCCTTTCTGGGTGCAGTGCCTAAAGACCTTGGCTTGCACTTAAACACATTCGGCGCTGACAAGATTACCATCTCCCAGCTGCAGAAGGCCACCTTACTGGGATCTGCACGCATTATCCGCCAATACATCACACAGTCCTAGACACTTGGGAAATGCCTGATGTGTGATCCAATACAACAGCCAGCAGAGTGCTGTGGACTCATCTTATTGTGTTTCAAATAATAATACTTTATTTGTATTATTCTGGCCTATCCAAGGGGACTCAGGGTGGATTCCAGCATACAAAGGCAAACATACAATGCCTAGAGACAACGAAACACAGATAAATGTAAAGGCTTCCCCTTCTGGCTCTGAGGAATGGTGCTCATCTCCATTTCTAAGCTGAAGAGCCTGCATTGTTTGTAGATACCTCCTGGGTCATGTGACCAGAATGACTGCATGGAGTTCCATTTACCTTCCTGCCAGGGCGGTACCTATTGATATCTCACATTTGCATGTTGACAGGAGCTGGGGCTAACAGCGGAGCCTCACCCCATCCCATGGATTTAAACCACCAACCTTCCGGTCAGCAAGTTCAGCAGCTCAGCGGTTTAACCATTGCGCCACCGCGGCCCCACGTTGCACACCCGCAACTGGAGGGTCATACATTGCCCATTATTAAAGGCTGGATACTGTTATGATACAGCATTCTTAACATGTTTGGCATTGATTTATTTATCGTGTCAGTATCAACCAGACAATTGTATTACATTTTTAACAAATTTTTAATAAACAGACAAAACAGAGTTTGCAAGCTTGGTAGTTGATTAAATGTCCTTTGACCAGTATCTGGCCACTTGGAGTGCCTCTGGTGTTGCTGCAAGGAGGTCCTCCATTGTGCATGTGGCAGGGCTCAGGTTGCATTGCATCAGGTGGTCAGTGGTTTGCTCTTCTCCACACTCGCATGTTGTGAATTCCACTTTGTAGCTCCATTTCTTAAGATTGGCTCTGCATCTTGTGGTGCCAGAGCACAGTCTGTTCAGCGCCTTCCAAGTCGCCCAGTCTTCTGTGTGCCCAGGGGGGAGTCTCTCATTTGGTATCGGCCGTTGATTGAGGCTCTGGGTTTGGGCCTGCCACTTTTGGACTCTCGCTTGCTGAGGTATTCCAGCGAGTGTCTCTGTAGATCTTAGAAAACTTGATTTAAGTCATTGACGTGCTGGCTGATACCCAAACAAGGGATGAGCTGGAGATGTCTCTGCCTTGGTCCTTTCACTATTGGCTGCTACTTCCCAGGTGATGTCAGGTGGTGGCTAAACAGTGTAATTTTCCAGTGGTGTAGGGTGCAGACACCCCGTGATAATGCGGCATGTCTCATTAAGAGCCACATCCACTGTTTTAGCGTGGTGAAATGTTTTCCACACTGGGCATGCATACTCAGCAGCAGAGTAGCATTGCGCAAGGGCAGATGTCTTCACAGTATCTAGTTGTGATCCCCAGGTTGTGCCAGTCAGCTTTCGTATGATATTGTTTCTAGCACCCACATTTTGCTTGATGTTTAGGCAGTGCCTCTTGTAGGTAAGAGCACGGTCCAGAGTGCCTTCCAGGTATTTGGGTGTGCTGCAATGCTCCAGTGGGATTCCTTCCCAGGTGATCCTCAGAGCTCGGGATGCTTCTCTGTTCTTGAGATGAAAAGCACATGTCTGTGTTTTAGATGGGTAAGGGATCAGCTGGTTTTCCCTGTAATAGGCAGTAAGGGCACCTAGAGCTTCGGAGAGCTTCTGTTCAACCATCTCAAAGCTCCCTGCTTGAGCATTGATATGAAGAACTTGTTGCATTCATTGCCTTGCTGACATAAGTAATTTTGTTTAACTGTTTTACTCCTTCCTGTCGTTGAGACTGGTGACAGAAACACCCACTAAATCCCATTCCTGGGTAATGCTTTCCTTCACTTTTTCCATGCCCACAGTTATTTTTAGATGCTCATATGATGTAGTCCTGGGCTTTCCAAAGTTTGTTCAAAAATATAGTTAACATATTTTCCTTCTGTTTGGTCTCTCAGTTTAGGAAAAATTGAAAGTTAAAGTTTCTGCTACCTTCAATTAAACCTTTCCAGATTGTCTCTCCACCAATCCGTTCAAAGTACCTTTATACTCCCATTTATCAAGTGGATCTTCTGAAAATATTAACAAAAAACCCCCCCAAAATCTAAAAATGATAAACAACAATATATAAATAACATAAAAGGTAAAGGCATTTTCAGCATTAAAAGCCAACAAGGAATAACCCTGCCCTGATCCAGTAGCCCTTTTCTCTTTCTTCTAGCTGCCCATTGATCTGGCTTCAGAGGGAGGGAAGAGCAGCCAGTATTAGACACATGTAACCCCCTCCCCTGCTTTCATTCACATTTCCTTTTATTTCCCATTTAGATTGAAACTTTGACCGGGGAACTATTTAATAAAATGTAAGCCATTCTGGAAATGTATTTGGCTAAAGCAGGGTTTCTCAGCTTTCCTAGTGCCGCGACCTCTTAATACAGTTCATGTTGTGGTGACCCCCAATCGTAAAATTATTTTTGTTGGTACTTCATAACTATAATTTTGCTACTGATATGAATCGCAATGTAAATATCTGACATGCAGGATGTATTTTCATTCACTGGACCAAATTTGGCACAGATACCCAATGTACCCAGATTTGAATACTGGTGGGTTTGTGGGGGGGATGTTTTTGTCATTTGGGAATTGTAGTTGCTGGGATTTATAGTTCACCTACAATCAAAGAGAATTCTGAACCCCACCAATGATCGAATTAGGCCAAACTTCCCACACAGAATCGGAAGGAAGGGTCCTGAGGCTGTGAGGAATGGTGGGAGTTGAAGTCCAAAACATCTGGAGGGCCCCAAGTTTGCTCATGCCTGATCTACACTATAGGTTGAATACAGTTTGGCACTGTAACTGACATGGCCCAGTGCTATAGAATGATGAAAGTTGTGGTTCTACATACATAGTCTTTAGCCTTCTCTTCCAAAGTGTGCTGGTGCCTTAACAAACTACAGATCCCAGGATTCCATAGCATTGAGCCATGGCAGTTAACGCGGGGTCAAACTGCATTAATACTGCAGTGCGCATGCACCCTAAGTGGAAGTACTAAGTAAACAGAAATCTTGGATAAACTACCTTAAACACAGCTGTAAAAGAAAAGCAGGGTGAAAATCCAGAAAATCTAGAAAAGTCAAACTTGGGAGGGAAAGAAGAAACGTGCATATCACAAAACTTTTGTGGATGACTTGTGCCTCCAAGAACTGAAATCTGATAAGGAGATGGGGAAATTCAGTGGGATGGTGACACAGTGTGACCTGCTGCAGACATCAGCAAGCAGTCATCACTGTCTTCAAAATATGCCTTTCTCTTGGGCAATGAGTTTGTGAATACCTCGATGTATAAATATGTGAATGTCATTCTTCTCGTGTTACAGTTCTTTTGTGAGTGACTTGGCACAGTAAGATCCTTAGCATATTTTTTGTATTAACTTTGAAAAGATATTCGTTAAACTGGACTTTCCGCTCCTGGATCATGGTTTTCTTTGCTGCTGTTCATGAACTGTGCTTGTTCAGACAGGCATATGTTTGTGATTATAACATTTAGTACAGCACAAGAAATATTTAAGTATGACTGTGCCTTTTGTGTGTGAGGTTTGATTGTTGCATTGAAGGAGCCAGAGTGAAGGAGGGGAGCCAGGAAGACCAAGTTCCACCATGTCTCCTGGGTCATCGGTTGGGAGCCCCTCCCCCCAGCAACAATATAGTAATATATACTAAGAATATTGTGCTGTGCCAATATTATAATATATTGTATACACATATAATATTGATAATATTATAATGTAATACAATATAATACGAATAATAATCCAATATAGTAATTTTATTTTTCATATACATGTAATATTACTTATAATATTACAGTATAGTGGCATAGTACAATATAGTAATTCATAATACTAATTTTGTGCTATGGTAATAATATATTGTATATACATATAACTTTTAAGCTGCTCTAGGTCCCCTTCGGGGTGAGAAGGGAGGCATATAAATGTCGTAAATAATAATAATAACAACAACAACTTTATTTTTATACCCGCCTCCATCTCCTTGAAGGGACTCGGGGCAGCTTACAAAGGGACAAGCCCAGAGAACACAGAGTTAAAACGTAATGCAATAAAATAAAACCAAACCAAACCAAATTGAAATGTATCACAATAAAACATAACATCATAAAAACATTACTATGGAAGCAATAAAAGTGATAAGTTCAGAGGGGTCTGAGTTTGTGCAAAATTCCTTGATAGACACAGTAGTTCTCAACCTGTGTGGTCCCCAGATGTTTTGGCTTCAACTCCCAGAAATCCTAACAGCTGGTAAACTGGCTGGGATTTCTGGGAGTTGTAGGCCAAAACACCTGGGGACCCACAGGTTGAGAACCACTGAGCTAAGGGAAAGTGCAAAAATTCAGTGAAAGGGATGGGAGAGCTTCCTAAATGGTCTGATTTTCCTTTCGAGGCCTCTGTTTCCTTTGTGGGATCACATCATTTGAAAACAGGAACTGTTCTCCAGCTAAGACTTTTCACTTCCCTGTCCAACCTTGAGCGGATCTGTACCTGTGCCGCTTTTCTTTTCAATAGGGCTTCCTCTGAGGAAGTTGAATAAAGAATCACCACTTTTTCCTTGAGGTACTGCAGCTGTTCTGCTTTTGTTGCATAAGTAGTTTCAGATTTATGGTGACCTTATGGCACCCCTAAAACAAGGTTTTCTGTGGCTAAGAGTGTGCGCCCCGCCCAAGGTCTCCCAGTAGGTTTTCATGGTTAAATGGTGATTTGAATGCTGTTCTCCAGGATGGTAGTCCAATACTCAACTCTCTATTCCATGATGGCTTATCTAAAGCATTCATGAAAAGTGTCAGATGAAGAAAAACTTTATAAAATGGGTCAGTGGGGAGATCCCATCCTGAATAACATTCCTCATCATCTGGATAAGTAGGAAACACGTTTAGCCACTGTAAGCACATTAGAAAAAGAATTATATATAACCAATGTTTGTGTGTATTGGTTTCATTTCTGCAGGGAAGTCAATCCCACTTGCCCATGATTCTGTGAAGCCCCCTCAACAAGAGAAGCCATCACCATACCCAAACGGCAACAAACATAAAGGGCTACCAAATGAGCCTGAAAGACAAGCATCACTATATCCAGGTAGAGTAAAAACAGCATTGAAATAGAAGTCCTTGTGCTTTGGTTAAATTGTAAGGAAAGTGGTGCTCAACCAGTATGAAAACCACATTTGTATTTGGTGCACAAATGTCTTTATGTCAACAAGAGTGTCATTTGGCAATGCCTTCTTTCAGTGAGGCTTTTGTGGTGTGCTTATGCCGCCTCTGCATTTTATTTGGAGCAAATAAGACAAGTGCAGTGAATTGAGGTAATACTCTAAAAGAGAGGGCTGAGAGGAGCCATGATGGCCATGTATAAATATATGAGGGGAGGTCATAGAGGGCCATGTATAAATATATGAGGGGAAGTCATAGAGGGGAGGGAGCAAGCTTATTTTCTGCTGCCCTGGAGACTAGGATGCAATGGAACAATGGCTTCAAACTACAGGAAAGGAGATTCCGCCTGAACATTAGAAAGACCTTCCTGACTGTGAGAGCTGTTCAGCAGTAGAATTCTCTGCCCTGGAGTGTGGTGAAGGCTCCTTCTTTGGAGGCTTTTAAGCAGAGGCTGGATGACCATCCGTCGGGGGTGCTTTGAATGTGATTTTACTGCTTCTTGGCAGTGGGTTGGACTGGATGGCCCATGAGGTCTCTTCCAACGCGATGGTTCTCTACAAATCTCTAGGTTGCACCAGAAGTTGACCAGAGAATCATGCTGGAAGACCTACAAATAAATGCCTGAAGAAGGCATTGGAATAATGAACTTTCAGCCACAATGGTTCCAGAGACACTCGCTGGAACACCTCAGCAAGCGAGAGTCCAAAAGTGGCAGGCTCAAACCCAGAACCTCAACCAATGGCTGATACTAAATGAGAGACTGCCCCCTGGGCACACAGAAGACTGGGCGACTTGGAAGGCGCTGAACAGACTGCGCTCTGGCACCATGAGATGCAGAGCCAACCTCAAGAAATGGGGCCACAAAGTGGAATCCACGACATGCGAGTGTGGAGAAGACCAAACCACTGACCACCTGCTGCCATGCACCCTGAGTCCTGCCACTTGCACAGTGGAGGACCTTCTTGCAGCAACACCAGAAGCACTCCAAGTGGCCAGATACTGGTCAAAGGACATTTAATCAACTACCAAACTTGCAAATTTTGTGTTTTGTCTGTTCGTTTGTTTGTTTTGTTAGAAATGTAATACAATTGACTGGTTGCCCTGACACGACAAATAAAATAAAAAGCCACAATGGTCTCCTCCAAACATAGTGATTGCTCACTGGAGGAGAGCAGAAGGGACAAAGAGGACCTTCCAGCAACAAGGACAGAGCTGGGTTCTCCTACATGCCCCCTTCCTCCTCTCTGTTCTCAAGGCAGTAGCCATGTTTGGAAGGGAAAGTTGTGGCTGATTCATTCAATCATTATTAAGGTCTTTCGTGGCAGAAAGCTTGCATTCAAAAAGTAAAGGAGGGACAGGTATGTTCTTCTCGCTTGATGGAACGTTACAGTCACATAATAGTACCATAAGAGAGGGCCGTCTATAAATAAAGTGTTACATTATTATAATAATAATATTTAAAACCCTTTATTTATAGACTGCCCTATCTCTCTGAAAGGATTCAGGTTGGTTTCCAACACATATGGCAAACATTCAATACCAACAAAGAGACATGTAACAGATTACATCAAAACATACCATATCAAAGAAAATAGAACAGCCATTATAATAAGCTTAATACCAAATAGAAATTAACCAAAAAATAAAAGTGGACAATCCTAACAGACATAATCACATAATATGAATTTAAACAGAATAAGAATTTAAAACAACTAAAACCTTATTAAGAGATAAAATGGTCCTTGTCTCACTTGAAGATCCATTAAGCATTCAACTTATAGTAGCCCTGTCTTGGATCCAGCTTGGCAACCCTATGTTCCGCTTCTGTGTTCTCTGAACATCTGTTTTCCATGGGGCACATATTTTCAGAATAAAACAGTATCTCCTATGAGCCCCTCAGGCTTGCAGATAGAGCTTGCTCTTTAATGAATTCCATTTTGTCACTTTCAGATCCTGTTTTAAAAGCAGACGGAAACCTTCATCCTTTATCTCCACCACCAGCTTCCATGGACCTTCCTCGTTCATTGCATTCGATTCCACCAGATTTATCAAATAGAAAGGTAAAGTGATTATGGCAGGAAAAATAGCATCTCTATATTCCTCTGTAGTATAAAATTATGATTGCATTGTTATCTAAGTCCAATTGTCATCCCTAAGAAGAACTGTTTAATGTAATCAATAGGTGCTTTGTAAATCAACACTTTTGTAAGTTGCATTGATTCAATGGGTCTACTCTAGTTGGCATGTATGTTTTGCAAATATCTTATATTCTAAGATTCTGATGTATATTATGGGAAAGCCGGACTCATGAATCTACTCTTGTATCATGCTTCCTTGGATAAAACTGAATGCTTTGAACTATTTTCTTTCTGAGTCAATGTAAAAAAAGAACCAGAGTCATATAATCCATCACATTATGCAGCTAACTATACCTCATGCCACAGATTTACCAATATCATTTAGCAAATCAATATCATTTAGAACGTTATCAGACAGTTGACTGTATAAGAAGTGATCTTAACAAGGAACACGATAAAGCATGTTTGATAATCCCAGGTTCATCCATCTTTCAATACAAGACTGGTGATTGCTGGGCTTTGTCAGCCTGAGGTGAAGAAGCAAATGGGCCTCCTTTTTCAAATCACTGTGCTTTGTATCAGTGGTGAACAATTGATTTAATTATTTCAGCAAAAAAGTCCTAAAGCACCTCTGTCTCTCCCTGGCATAAAATAATTACAGTTGCAGTAACTAACAGTGTGTTGCCTTTGACTATTTTGATTAATTGTGGTGACAGCTTTGCAAGAGGGAAAGCCTCAGTCTTCTGGTGTAGATCCATCAATATTGGCTCTCTGAAATACTTTACATTTCCATAACATTATGAAAAGTTGCATTTGATAAAGAATGCCCCACTCCTGCCCCCACTCCCAGGGCAGCAGTTAAAACAGAGTAAAGTAAAAGACCCGACAGTTTAATGCAGAGGACCATAAATGATGTGGAATGTGGAAATTTGCATTGTTTCCTGTAAGGTTCTTAAGCACCTTTTCACAACTCTTTCTTCAGTAAACCACAAAAAGTAATCTGACAGGGTTTACTGGCAAGGAGGGATGCAGGTCATTTCCTCCAAGGGGCAAAATGAAGAGCTGAGCACAAAAGGTAGCTGTCATTAAGCTGCTAACCATATTTACTTTTCCATGCCTCACCCACATCTCTGATCAACATGTTTTTCTGATTTATTGCATCACATTACTAGCACTTTAGGAGATGCCACTGAGATCAAAGCTCATGACCTCATTTAAAATTATTGCTCTTCTAACTATTGACTTCTCTTAAAGGCACTGTTGACTGGAGATAGTGAAGATCTTTGCAAACCTTCTCTATGAGAGAGTACTGGTGCCTCACCAAACTATAGACCAGGGGTCCTCAAACTAAGGCCCGGGGTCCGGATACGGCCCTCCAAAGTCATTTGCCCGGCCCTTGCTCAGGGTCAACCTAAGTTTGAAATAACTTGAAAGCACACAACAACAACCATTCTATCTCATCAGCCGAAAGCAGGCCCACAGTTCCCATTGAAATACTAATAAGTTTATATTTGTTAAAATTATTCATTTTATTTATTGTATTGTTTTTATGTGTTTTTTTGCACTATAAATAAGAAATGTGCAATGTGCATAGGAATTCATTCATGTTTTTTTCAAATTATAATCTGGCCCTCCAACAGTTTGAGGGACTGTGACTTGGCCCTCTGTTTAAAAAGTTTGAGGACCCCTCCTATAGACCCCGTGATTCTATAGCATTCAGCTATGGCAGTTAAAGTGGCATCAAACTACATTAATTCTACAGTGTAGATGCACCCTTAGTCTAGTTCCCCTGCCATGCAGGAACAGTTTTTTTCCCTCCAAATAACATTGGGCAGCACTGGCATTTCCATACCAGAAGATTTGAAAGAGCTCCTATGAAAGCACTAGCCAAGATCCTGAAGTGCTAAGCTATATCCTTGAGTGTCATGTTCCAGGACTCTCGTCCAATAACCAAACAAACCCAAGGTATGCCAAACCCTATTTTACTTAGGCAAAGTACTGAGTCTTTCCAAGGTCTGACTAACCGAACAGAAATGCAGCACATGGCTGAGATAATACAAAGTCCCAAGTTACACAGGCACAATCAGTAGTCAGGGTTCCAAAATAATTCTAGATGAATAGATTCAATCAAGGAAGAGTCTTGAGTCTGCAAGACCTGAACAGGGCTACTGATGCCAGAGTGACATGGAGATCTCTCATTCATAGGGACACTATAAATTGGTCAACTTGATAGCAATTAACAGTCTCTTTATTTATCAAATAACTGGCATGCTAGTTGATAAACAAATATGTGCACCAGCAACAATTGTACACAATTCTCTATCCTCCAAGGTGAATGTATTAGCCTAGGTTAGGTTACTGTCCCATTCAGCTTAGTTTTGTCTCAGTAAAACTTTCCAAAATTCCAGGCAAATTGGTTTTTTTAGTTGTATAACTAAAAGAGAGCCACGTCCACTGTTTTAATGTGGTGAGATGTATTCCATGCTGGGCATGTGGGACCCTGAAATGTCTTTTCTTTTAAACCTGTAGTTCTGCAGTGTTACTGTTCCTCAGGAGGAAATCACTCCTCATCTTCCTAAGAGCGAAAGCTTGCTGTGGAGCCCAAGTGAAGTGGAAATTGCTACCAATGGCTTCAGTAAGGAAAACCAAATTAGCGAAGGCATTTTTGCTGTCACCTACAAAGGTTGGAGGGACAATGCACTATATGTGGTGAAAAGGCTAAAAGAGGCAAGTATACTTTCTAAATTTTCTCTCATTTCCATATTGCATACATTAGAAAATATATTGCATAAATTATAATTTCCATATTCTGTTATATTATTTTTTAAAAATTAAAAAATGGTACAATTTAGCCTGCAGAAGAGAAGGCTGAGAGGAGACATGATAAATATGTGAGGGGAAGTCATAGGGAGGAGGGAGCAAGCTTGTTTTCAGCTGCCGTGGAAACTAGGAAGCGGAACAATGGCTTCAAACTACAGGAGAAGGGATTCCACCTGAACATGAGGAAGAACTTCCTAACTGTGAGGGCTGTTCAGCAGTGGAACTCTCTGCCCCGGAGTGTGGTGGAGGCTCCTTCTATGGAGGCTTTTGACCAGAGGCTGGATGACCATCTGTTGGGGATGCTTTGAATGCGATTTTCCTGCTTCTTCGCAGGGGGTTGGGCTGGATGGCCCATGAGGTCTCTTCCAACTCGATGATTCTATGATTCTATGATTTTAAATAATTAAGACAGAGAATTTTCATACATTACAGGTCATGCAGAATGGAACTGTTTGGTTGCCCATTCCAAACAGTTCATCAATTATGAGATATACTTTCACTTATTTTAATGAAACTATTAAATTAGAAAAATTGGGAGATGCTGGTTAGAAACAAGAGTGTCACTGAATTCCGTCTGTTGATCGTTGATATTATGTATTTAGCAGACAATTTTTAGGAAGATTTTCCAAATTGTAGAATTAGGTTGATGGGATGACTCTCTGTATGCATTAGGCATAATGAAGCTCATACCGTGGTCTAGTTTAATTGATTTCACATTTGCATTTCTCCATACTCCCTAATTTTCTAGCTCTTTGGATCACCTTTTTAGGGGGCATGTGGTGCACCTCCCCTTCGTGGTTTGTTTATTTATTTGTTTACAGTATTTATATTCAGAGCGGATCACAGAACACATATATGGCAAACATTCAATGCTGTTGTACACTGACAAGACAGACAACTGTACATAGATAGAGGTATATATAGGCTTTCCCATCTGCGGCATCTTGGAGGCTGTGCTCAGTTCCGGCCATGGAGGATGCAATTGCTCCATCTTCCTTGCCTAAGAGTTTTTGTTCGTAAATGTCCTCGTTGATCAAATTGCCAGCATTTTTCTGGCATTTCCTTATGGGTGCTTAAATACCTCCCCACTTAAAGCAGTACCTATTTATCTACTCACATTGCTGTTTTCAAAACTGCTTGGTAGGCAGAAGCTGGGCTAAAGACCAGGAGTTCACCCTGACCTGGGCTTCAAACTGTCAACCTTTTAGTTGACAAAATTTACTGCAGCTGACATTTCAATTGAAAGAAGCACCTAATTGGATGTTAACTACATTGTTAGAACATCCTTACCCCGAACCAGTAAGGAAATCTAAAACAGAGAGAGAATTAAAAACTAAAAAGGAGAGAATTAAAAACACTCTCAGGCAAAAAAGAAATAAAAAGTCTCAGAAGAGCATGTTTTTCAGAAAACCTATAGAAATAAATGTGCAAGGCACGGTACATGAAGAGGTGGAGATTTCTTGCAAGTTAGTTTGTAATCAATAGAAAGCCTTGTAAGTTAGTGTACTAATTAATATCCCGTCATTTCTAGTTTATCCTTTTCAGCACAATTTTAAAATAAATGACAGACTCTTAATTTTTTGCTTAATGAAAATACTCAGTAGAATATCAGAAAAAGGTATGGATGTATTGGTTACACTCTTGGGACAGGCAATAAATATATTATTTTATTATATATTGTACCAGGATCAGACAGAAAGATTTTTTCGCATAGAAGTTCAGATCTGCTTTCGGTAAGTAACTATGCAAAAATTGGCAATGGGAGAGGGATCCATGCTGATAGTTTTAATTTCACTTCTATAACTCTCCTGTAACTCTTTTGTGCCACTCAGATATTGCACTATGAGTCCACTTTAACTTATATGATTATATCTATGAAATCCTACAGTTTGTGGTTGAGGAAAGGGAGTAATTAGAATTCTGAATCATAATTCTGGGGTCACATCAAGTCACAAATGCAAATATTACATAGGTTGCAACAATCACAATTGGAGGGGGTTTATGGTGTAATAATTGTGCAGTGTGAAAGGGCTCCTTAGCATTTTAAATTGCTGAATCTTAGCAGAAGTTCCATTAGTCAGTGGACTTTGACATTCTCGCTGGGTCTTATGCAGGTAGAAAGCATAACACTACCTAGTAAGTGGATGGAGAATATTTTAGCATTCAAAATATATGTAACCCAAGTGCAAAATTACATTGCACCAATCTAGAAGTGATGCTGATCTTGAAAACTCTTACTGTATATTAAAAAAGAAAGCTGAGTCAGACTGTTATGTTATTCCTACTTGGCTCTTCTTGCAGAGAATGAACACGTCAAACTGTTTGTTTGTCTGTTGTTATTTGTGTACCAGAAATGTGGGTTTCTTCTCTCCAAACAAGGCAGAGCCATAAATAATGATTTGTCAAGGGCCAGGTGTGTTTGTCCTACAGCAAATTGTTGTTCATTCGTTCAGTCGTCTCCGACTCTTCGTGACCTCATGGACCAGCCCACGCCAGAGCTCCCTGTCGGCCGTCACCACCCCCAAAAATATACATTGATCCAGCTTTTCTGTTGTAAAATGTTTACGATCAGTGTTGTACAATATTTATCATTTCCTTCCTCTTTCTTATGACGTTGGCCTTAATCTAAAAGGCATCAAATACACTAGGGTATCACTGTTCACCTAGTAAGAGACAATTTCGCAAGCAAAGGGTGTGTCCTTTCTTCCACAGCAGACAAAACGAAATGACCATATGACTGGATGTGAGTACAGTCTAATCTAATGAGTCACTGCTATGAACTCTATGTGCAACTAGCAGGCTGTTCTACCTCAGTATTAAATGTTCAAATGCCCTAGCCTGAGACTGATCATTTAGTTTTATTTTAAATGACAAGAAATTCAATTTACTAAATAATATCTTTTCAAATACCTGTTATAGGTGTCAACACCCTAATATACTACAGCTGTTAGGATTCTCTGTAGAAAGTGCTTTTTCCTGCCTGATATATCCTTACATGCCAAATGGATCACTGATGGATAGACTACAGTGTCAGGTGAGCAATATGGTTGCATACTATTATATACTATGTCTGCGTATTTAGTGCATATGTGGAGCTTGGTTCCAAAAGGTACCAAATCCATCTGAACAAATTTTACAGGAATAAACAAAACACGTGCTGAGTATATGCTTTATTTTGCTATTAAATGCTATTTCCCAGGCGCTGTGCTGAAGCGATTACATACATTTTGATAGTTTTAATCTGTACATAATGTGCTGCCACCTATAACTCATTTTAGGTTTTTAGGGGATTTGATATCTTTTGGAAACAAATAATAATAATAATAATCTATATAAATAAAAATGTAATGTTCATTTGTGGGATTAGCATAACTCAAAAACCACTGGGTGAATTGACACCAAATTTGGACACAAAACACCTATCAAGCCAACGAGTGGCCATCACTTATAAAAACACTGGAAAACATAGCGGAAGAGACTTAAAAAGCCACAAAAATACATTACGATGCAAGCGCATAACCACATATATACACATACACAAATATATACACACACATATATACACACACAAAACATATATACACAGACTGGGCCACAGCAACGCGTGGCAGGAGACAGCTAATAATAATAATAATAATAATAATAATAATAATAATAATATCTTTTGGAAACAAATAATTATAATTATAACATTTTATTTATATTCCACCCTTCTCCCTGAATGAACTCAGAGAGGATTACAGTATATAAACAGACACAGGCAAAGATTCAATGCCTTTTTACAATGACATACCATGAGACACAAATACGCAGACAAAGGCAAAAACGTCTCCTTTCATGTCTGGCTCTAGAGGCGATGCTCCTCCTTTTCCAAGCCGAGGAGCCTGCGTCCATAGACACCTCCCGATTGCGTGGCTGGCATGACTGCTTCAAGGGTCTTTTTACCTTTTCCCGCCAAAGCGGTACCTATTAATTTACTCACATTTGCATAATTTCGAACTGCTACATTGGCAGCAGCTTTGGGCTAACAGTGGGAGCTCGCCCCATCCCGTGGATTTGAACTGCCAACTTTCAGGTTAGCAGTTCAGCAGCACAAAAGTTTAACCCATTTCACCACCGCAGCCCACAACTCCACATATGTGTGTTGACCTGAACAAAGAGAAAGCATTCCAAGTAAACTAAAATGGTGAACCTGGAGACTTCTAAAACAGAAACTGTGTTAACCTTAATCAGCACAATCAGTTGTCACAAGAGTATGGGAAATGTTGTTTCAACAGCAGAGCCAGCTTGGTGTAATGCACACGTATCAAACGAAAAGTCCATGGGCCAGATCTAACCCTCTGCGTCATTGTATGTCGTCCGTAGCACTTCCCATGCCAAGGCAACATAGTTAATTTAATACCCGCCCTTTGAAGGCAAACATAAGGCTGGTGTGACCCTCAGTGAGAATGGGTTTGGCCCTCAGTGTAGTGGTTTGAGTGCTAGTTATGTGTCCCTTCCAGAAACTACTCTGCTGCGATGGCTGAGAGTCTTAGAAGTTGAAGTCTTAGAGATTAAATACCCTAGCAAGAGGAAGTAAAACTACGTTCTTCCTTCCTCCCAGCAAGAACTCTCATACCTTAGTGTGCAAAGTTCCCCTTTTTGGCTTTTAAAAAACCAATAATCTTTGAGATGGAGTAGGTTGCTGAATGAATAATATTATGATAAATAGACAAACTCCTGTTTCCAAATCCTTCAAGAAGAATTCATAGTCTTTTGGAAACCAGGCTGGAGAGACATCTTGTTTATCCTTCTTTCCTGATATGTACATCTTCCCGGGTTTTGGCATGTGAGTAGAACAGGGCTGAAAGAAAACACATTCAAATATGTGTTTTTTTTCTGTAGCAGGTTGTGAAAAGTCTCCAGATATCATGCATATGCAAGCGTTTTCTGCCTCAAGATGGGCCAGTCAAGGAGAATGTTTGGCTTTTTAGCTTCTAATTTTGTTTTGAGAGTCTGGCCCTGAATTCAAAGAAATATTAATTCTGTTGTGCCAGTTTTTAGAGAGAGAACTGTTGCAGCATAAAAAGGATTCCTATCCCCCACCCGTTAAGACTAATTCAGGACAACTTTTACTTGTGTATTTTTCGGTTTTTAACATAGTTTGTCATAGGGTGTTTAAACTTGCTGGTTGTTGGGGAAAATGTTTTTGTTTTTTTAATCCCAAAAATCTCATTAATCAAGCCTTTGAATGTACAATGTACTGAAACTTCCTAAAACCTGGGTGTGAAACACATATCATGCCTAATGGACACATCTATTCTGAATAAAGAAATATAACCTTCCAGAAATAACAATAATTTATTTTTGTAATTACTTCTAATTGTTATTACTTTTATAACAAAAATAAAAGGTAAGCGTCAGGAAAAACGTAAAGGTTTTTTCCTGACATTAAGTCTAGGCGTGTCTGACTTGGGAGCGGGATTAATCTCCATTTCTAAGCCGAAGAGCTGGCGTTGTTTGTAGACACCTCCGCGCTCATGTGGCCCACATGACTGCATGGAGTACCGTTACCTTCCCGCAGAAGTGGTGCCTATTGATCTACTCACATTTGCATTGTTTCAAACTACTAGGTTGGCAGAAGCTGGGCCTAAGTCACCTTCGGGCTGAGAAAGGCGGCATAGAATTACTGTAAATAAATAAATATATAACTAAATAATAGCGGGAGCTCACCCCACTCCCCGGAGTCGAACTGCCAACCTTTCAGTCAACAAAAGCTCTGCGGTTTAACCCACTGTGCCACCAGGAGGCCCTTATAACAAAAATAAATTTGGTAAATTTTTATTTGATCTTCTTAATATTTTTTCCTAATGAACTAAATAACTTCTAATGAATTAACCTTTTTTTCTAATTCACTATTCTGCCTAAAATTTCCTCCACAACATGTAATTTCTATGTTGAAACACAGTACAGGATCAAGTGTGCACTTTTTAAAGGAGAGACGTTACCTGTTTCCTGTGAATTGCTTGGTTCTTGATTTGAACCAACGCCACAGTTCATCCGATGGGAAATTCCATCTAATGGAGACTTGTGTTATTTACACTTTCATACAATGTTTATGTTTTCAAAGAATTTCTCTTTTTCTTTTATTGCAGGGAGGTTCTGTATCATTAGCATGGGAGCAACGCATCAACATATCTTTAGGACTTATTCAAGCCATTCAACATTTACATAGGCTTGGAATTCTTCATGGGAATGTGAAAAGGTGCAGAACTTACTTAAGATATCAACTTCTTGTTCTTTATCCCATTATAACCTTTATTTTGGGGGAAAAACAATTCAAATGCTGGAGTTAATTCTTTGTGCTCCATCAGAATAACCTGAGACAACAATAGAACTTTTTTTTCTTTTCAGTTCACTATTAATCTTGTTGTTTTTGTTGTGGTGTGCCTTCAAGTCATTTCCACCTTATGCTGACCCTAAGGAAAACCTATGTGTGGGATTTTCTGGGGCTGAGAGAGTATAAGTCACTCAAAATCACTCAGTGGGTTTCCATGGCTGAAGAGTGTGGCCAAACTGCAGCTCCTAGGATGTCATAACACTGGATCATTGAAACATGGCAATTAAAGTAATGCCAAGCAACACTACTTTAGATGTGGCCCCTTCTATACTGCCATGTAATCCAGTATCTGATCCCGGATTACCTGCTTTGAACTAAATTATGTGGCAGTGTAGATTCATATAATCCAGTTCAAATCAGATAATCTGGGATCAGATCCTGGATTATATGACAGTGTAGATCCAGCCTATGTCCCAAAATCTGATTTCATAACACTGATATTTGTGTGGTTGAGTAAACATTGTGTAGCAGAGAATCCACAGACAAAGCAGTAGTGATGGTGAAAGTCCTCCCCAACCTACTGATTCACCTGACATTCAGTTTTAGCTCATGACCAGGGAGGAGTGCTTACAGGAAACAGAATTTCTTTAATGGTATCCCAGTAAATTCATGTTACTTCAGAATAGTCACTTGAAATGTTCTTCCAGAATGCATTTGTCTTAAAAAACAGAAAGACATTTGGCATTGTCAGTATATATACAATGCAGCAGTCTGGCAACATCACCACAATTTATGTTTTATAACTCTCCAGCGTGACCAATTTGCTAGGATTCTAATTTTTGCATTGCAGAGGTTCTTATAAGTGATGTATTTTATCACAACCTAACTAAAGATTTCAGGTATAATTGTGTGTTTTCCGGGCTGTATGGTCATGTTCCAGAAGCATTCTCTCCTGACGTTGTGCCTGCATCTATAGCAGGCATCCTCAGAGGTTGTGAGGTCTGTTGGAAATTAGGAAAATTGGGTTTATATAAGTCCATGGAATGTCCAGGTTGGGAGAAAGAACTCTTGTCTGTTTGAGGTAGGTGTGAATGTAGCAATTGGCCACCTTGATTACATGCTAATCAAGGTGGCCAATTGCAATATTCACGACTGCCATAGATGCAGGCGAAATGGCCTAGCAGTTTTCAAGATCTGGCTTACTTCCTGGGAGAATCATTTGTTGGGATGTGATTATCTGGCCCTGATTGTTTCTAGTCTGGAATTCCCTGTTTTTGAGTGTTGTTCGTTATTTACTGTTATGATTTTAGAGTTTTTAAATACTGGTAGCCAGATGCTAATCAAGGTGGCCAATTGCTACATTCACACCTACCTCAAACAGACAAGAATTCTTTCTCCCACATTGGATATTCCACACACACACATAAATGCAACCCAATTTTCCTAGTTTTTAACAGACCTCACAACCTCTCAGGATGCCTGCCATAGATGCAAGTGAAACATCAGGAGAGAATGCTTCTGGAAGATGGCCGGAAAACACACAGCAACCCAGTGATTCCTGCCATGAAAGCCTTCGACAATACATTTCAGGTATAAATTCCCTACTATGTTTTTTTCCCTAAAGAGCCCAACTTTGATGGCCCTGGGATCTAATTTTAAGACAAGTTTGCTTTGAAGAAACTAGTTTTATTGGCCATATGTTTGTCTGCTGTTAATACTGCTTTTAAAGTCAGGCTACAACTCAAGAGTGTGTCCTGGCACACCAGATGAAAGCTGACCACATTTTCTTTCTATTTCTCCCTTTTTGTGCGCACAGTTCCAATGTTTTGCTGGATGCAGATTTCGTACCTCGGCTTGGGCATTCTGGTCTCCGGCTGCATCCTATAGAGAAAAAGACTGATCAAGCTATGATGAAAACCAAAGTCTTGCAAGTTTCACTTGCTTATTTCCCAGAAGATTTTGTCAGGCATGGGCAGCTAACAGAAAAAGTGGATATATTTGGTTGTGGAATAGTAAGTCGTTCATCTTTGTACCTGTGCTTGACCGGTATTACTTTTAGTGAATTTTACTTTTCATTCTCACTGTGTGGATTAACACCACTGTTATTATTTAAAATACTGTAATATCTGGAGACTTATGAATGGGCCATAACTCACAGCAACAAAAGAGATAAGTAAACAGCTGTAAAAATACCAAAGTGAGATAGTTGCATTAGCAAGATAATGATTTAGATCCAGTTATCTCTAATAGGCAGATCCACTGAGTCAATTTGAATATGATAAATCAACTCTTACATCAGTTCTATGGATCAAACTGATTTATTCTGCTTGGAATTAATGATGACTTCAGGCCTATATGATGTGTTTTGATTTATGAAAGTAAAAGCAAAAAGAGGCTAGTGGATCTGCAGCTGCAGAAGGAAAGTCTACTCAAAATAGGTTGCTGTGAGTTTTCCGGGCTGTATGGCCATGTTCCAGAATCATTCTCTCCTGATGTTTTACCCACATCTATGGCAGGCATCCTTAGAGGTTTTGAGGTCTGTTGGAAAATAGGCAAGTGGAGTTTATATATCTATGGAATGTTCTGGGTGGGAGATAGTACTCTTGTCTGTTTGAGACAAGTGTGAATGTTGTATGATAATTATGGTTATGTATAATTTTAATTAATAATAATAATAATAAAAGATTCTGTGAAAAATAATAAAAGATTCTGTGAAAAACATTGCAATTGGCCACCTTGATTAGCACTGAATAACCTTGCAGCTTCAAAGCCTGGTTGCTTCTTGTTGTTAATTTTAGTGCTGCTCCTTATGCAGCTGTTCTGAGTTGTACAAGAGAGGGTCCTGTACCGAACCCAATTGCTTCAGTGATTCAGCTCCAGTTTCCGTACAACTCAGGCCTGTTCTACACTGCCATATAATCCAGATAATCCAAGCAGATAATCTGGATTTTATATGGCAGTGTAGAAGGGGCCCCAGAGAAACTTGAGGAGTGATGGCAAAATTAAGAGTGAATCTCCACTCACACAGTTGCACATCTGCCAATTGTCCCAGTGACGTAATGTGTTTTAAAGAGGCAGAAATATACAGTAACTGTATTTCTCCCCAGGTTTTAGCAGAAATACTCACTGGCATGAAGGCAATGGATGAAGAAAGGTATCCTATTTTTCTAGTAAGTGACGTTATCTTGTCAATTGTCTTTTGAGTAAGGCCAATTAAAGGAATCACAGAAAACGAGTTACAATTTGCAATATCAATTTTAGGTGCCTATGTATAAAGATGCATGTTCAGTGCCTCAATTTTAAAAACATCTATTAACCAAAATAATCTTATACTAGTATATTTACTGTGCAAAACTGGCTGCAGAAATTCCGAAAAGAGTGTCCCCAAAGATTATGATTAGCAATTCATACTTTGAGAAGTAGGAGGTAGAGCATTAGAGTGTTTTTATTTTTTCAAGGTGTACCAAAAGCATCATTAAAGTTGCAACGTGAGTAATATTTTGTATTTGTGTAAATATATTTGATTAATAAGTGTTGAGACATTTTACATGCATCTTATGCAAGTCATATATATAGATATAGCTCTCTCTCTCTCTCTGTATGTGTGTGTGTGTGTGTGTGTGTATATATATATATATATATATATAGTACATTGTAATTTGCCTCCTATTCTGATGTTTGTTTGTTGTTTCTGCATTGTCCCTTCTGTTTCTTCATCTTTTAACAGACCCTGAAAAAGACAATTTGAATATTACCAGGATGAAACACATTGAGCTAATTGCTAGAATAATATTTAGCAACACCCTGAGATGTTATCTCTTCTTTCTCTCCCCTGTAAAAATTGTTGACCAGACAATTATAAGATTGTTACAAAATGCTAGTGAATTGGAAAGCCAACATTTACCCCTTTCAGTCAGTATGATCTTACCATGTTTCTGTGCAGTCTATCTACATTCTAAGCAGATAATATGCTTTTGTGTCACATTGTGATTTTAAAGTATTGGGTCACCCAGCAAGTACAGTGTTTCTCCAAAGAGATGGATCATCTGCCTCTCTCCCAACCTTTCTCTTCAACAGAAAGATGCCCTCCTTGAAGAAATCCATGCGGCAAAAAAACTGTCCTCTTCCAAAGAAAGAACCTTTGAACAAATTGCTGCAGTGGAAATATGTCACAAATATCAAGACAAGCAAGCAGCTGGTTTGCCAGAAACAGCCGGTGTACATTTGGCTATGGCTGCCTGTGTTTGCCTAAGGAAAAAGCAAGCTGACCTGGCAGAGGTAAATATGGCATCTCCTTACCAACACACTTTCTCTAATGTTCAATAAAAGAAAAGATGGATGCTATTTCTTGGCAAAAATACCCTTATTGTCTAGATCCAGGGGAATCATACTACTTCTCTATTCTGCCTTGGTCAGACCACATCTGGAATACTGTGTACAATTCTGGGCACCGCAGTTTAAGGGAGGTGTTGACAAGCTGGAATGTTTCCAGAGGAGGGCGACTAAAATGATCAAGGGTCGAGAGATCAAGCCCTATGAGGAACAGCTTAAAGAACTGGGCATGTTTAGCCTGCAGAAGAGAAGGCTGAGAGAAGACATGATGGCTATGTATAAATATGTGAGAGGAAGTCATAGGGAGGAGGGAGCAGGCTTGTTTTCTGATGCCCTGGAGACTAGGACGTAGAATAATGGCTTCAAACTACAGGGAAGGAGATTCCATCTGAACATTAGGAAGAACTTCCAGACTGTGAGAACTGTCCAGAAGTGGAACTCTCTGCTTTTTAAGCAGAGGATGGATGACCATCTGTCAGGGGTGCTTTGAATGCATTTCTCCTGCTTCTTGGCAGGGGGTCAAACTGGATGGTCTCTTTCAGCTCTGTGATTCTATGATTCAATAGGGTATGAGTCGAGGTGAGGCGAAGGAGATCACGAACCTTGTTTTCCTCCCCTTTGGGAACATTTCTCTCCATTTTTAAATGACTGCACTCTACTGCAATAACAAGATGTGTACTTTAGAATTATTCCTAGTTTCAACCGAATCAATAAGGCCCATGTAGCCTCAGTGGGTTTTTCAACAGCTGCCTATTGGCTGAATGAATGAAAAGGGCTGATATTACATCTGTTTGAAAAGTTTCCCCCTCTTTTTATTCACTTAAGAACTTATGATGTTGGAAGGGGAGGAGGTTGTATTATTTTAGTGAATCAAATTCAAATGAATATTGAACATTCTTGTTAAAAACAGGTGAAGGAAATTGTGGAAATGGCACATCGTCAAATGCAGCATCAAAAGATGGCACAGGGAAGCAGATGCTTTGGACACTCCATCAATATCCCAGAAGAAACTAATGATGAGCCAGCAAGTCCATTCGTGGATGGTTTCCCAGTCAATTCTAATTACAGGCGTAATGTGAATTCAGTCCCCCTGAATTGCAAAGATTTGTTACCCCCTTTGACAAGAGCTGCAGTTCCTGAAACATATTCCTGGCAGATGCTGTGTGATCCTTGTGAGTCAGATGAATCAAGTAACTTTTTTGGGAGTCCAATGGAGGATGCTGACTGCCAGCTACAAAGCAGCGGCCATCAACATTTGGAAAACACTTCCTTGGCTAAGCCTCTGCCAAGTGATCTAGAATGCAATAATAACTGCACAGCAGAAAATATAAACTTTGGTCGAAGCATGAAGCCACAGGAAGAAGCTGTTCCTTCAAGCATTGCTGCTGGCTGCTCCTCACAAGGTAACAAGTTGTTTCTGTATATTCTTTGGATAAGGAAATTACAGTAAAGTGATTCTTTGTGTGTACATAATACAGTCAGTGTATAAGACCTGATAGATTTACCTCTGAAAAACGTACAGCTTTCAATTCACCACAGTAGAAATAATATAGGGGGTACTTTGAAGTGGATGCAGAAGCCAACAGCTTAGGGTGCATCTACACTGCAGTATTAATACAGTTTGAAGTCACTTGAACCGACATAGCTTATAGCTATGGAATCATGCGAACTATAGTTTTACAACGTCTTTAACCTTCTCAGTCAAAGCGTGCTGGTGCCTCACCAAACTACAAACCCCAAGATAATCAGATATTATTATCTGGAACATTGGAAAACTTTCCAGCTCTACTTTTTCTGGAAAATCCACATCAATGATGGCAATGCCTTTGGCAAGGATGGATGCGGTACTCTGTTGCATTTGCCTGCCTGCCAACTGTTGCCTTTAGGAATGGGCTCTGAGTTTTCCTCACAGGTTTTTTTGTTTACGCAGATCTGAACACATTCAAGCTTTAGTACTTCAGGTATTGGCAGTCACCCCCGAAATATAATCCAAAAATATAATAACTGAGCAATGCAACAATTCTTCTTCTCCTTTTTCTCTGTTCTTTAACTTTGAATCCATATCTGAACCATTTAATAATAATATAATAACAATTTTCTTTCTCACCCGTCTCTCCTTGTGGCTTGAGGCAAGTTACAACATAGTTAAAACACATAATCATTGTAAACATTCTGTAGAATACACAAATGAAAACATACTTCTATAAAATACATATTAAAATGCATAAAACAAAATTTAAAGCACAAGATGCGGGTTTAATAATAATCATCTAATTTGAACTGAATATATATCAGGCATTGTGCCTGGAGGCCTTGGGCTGTCTTTGCCATTATTCTTAGGCAGTATTTGTAGACGCTTACTCTTAAGATTAGTTTTTATTCTGTTTTCTGTGAGATGTAAGCAACTAGCTCCATAGGTTGAAAACTTTTACCTGTAAGGTGAACCAGAATTCTATAGTTATTCAAACTAAGTTTTGATTTTCTATTACCATGAACATTTAGAAGTGACTGTGCTTATTGTTCATGTCAGTGATGTTTGTTTTGTTTTCAGCAGCAGAAGCAAAAGAAATAAGGATCAACAGTGCAAAGAAGAAACTGGTGGAACAAATTTTATTGTATGAAGAAAATAAGATAAACAGTTACGAACTCTTTGACTCTTCAGTCTAGTGATGTCATCTTCAATTGGATTTTACCCTAACCCTGAGAATGAAGCTGTTAGCAGCTACAACTAAAACAAAATAGGCAGTACTGGATTCATATGCATGAAAAATACCATAATGTTATACAAGGTGGGAGAATTCTCTTGTTGTGAGAAGAACCAAGAGTATGCCTTTCACTACTTTATAAGTGTGGCTGAAATATCTTTTAGTGGACAACCCCTCTCCCTGAAACTAAAGGGAAATGCAGGATGGATAAGAAAATATCAATTCTAGAAGTGTTGAAAGCAGATAAGTATGGAAAATTGACACTGGTTAGCTGAAGGTCAAGGGAGGACTTATGGGAAGAAGAAGAGGTGAAGAAACATCCCTAAAAGCATCAGTTTAAATCACAGAGGTGTCAGGATACATAGACATAGATGAAGGACACTCTCAAGTTGCTTAGACTGTTTACTACTGCCCACTGTGAGGCATTCTTCACTCTTTGTTGCTAAGCGTTGTTGTATTCCCAACAGTTTTGAAACATGTCCCTTATATACTCATAGTTTTCAATGTTTACACTTTTGTGACCCATCGGAAAGATAGATGGAAACCGGCTTTCACCCATAGACAGCACTTCCTAATGCAATCATACCTTTGCACAATTATTTTATAGAAAGGACCTTCACAATCTCCATTTAGTTCTGTTTATGGCTGGGAACTGTGTTATGGGACTGCAACTCTCAGTAACTCTTACAGTTGGCCAAGGTTGCATTTCAACAATGTCTGGCAGGCTACACACTTCTCACTCCCAATGCAGTGACTTCATTAAGCAATTAGCACTAGTCTGGTTTTGGAAACAGCTGACTGGACCCATACACCTCCCATCTGATCCTGTACAAATTATGTTTCACTCCAAAGCATTAAATATATTTAAGGTATGGAAAATCAAATGAAGAGACAGGAATATGAGGGGAAAGAAGCCAAAGATTTCAAGCACTTCTGTCAAATGGATTTGGAATGTCTGTTTCTTGTAAATATGAGCCCAAAGAATCAGCATTAATGAACTTATAATGGATGGATGTGTTCAAAGAATGGGGGCATAAGCAATATAAATACTGTATTTGCTTTTCTTTTCTAGTAAGCTGATCTTGTTTGATAAAAATATATCCATTCATTCACTAACAACACCTGCCTTTAAGAAGCAAAATGAAATATTTATGTTGAAAATATTTTGTAGCATATTTTGTATTTTATAGTTTTTATAGACAATATTATGATGGTTACAAGACTCTTAAATCTGAATATTAATAAATATTGACATTTGCATTCACTGTATCGTCTACTGTTATTTCCACATACTGGGATTTTTCTTTTAAACATGCAAGTCTTCCAGTGCAATTTTATATGTGGGTATTTAAAGGTAACTCTCAGAAATCCAACACAATTTATACACAAATGCATCAAAACTACAATAAACCATTATGCAGTAATAATAGCAGGAGATGCATATCTTCGTGGTTCATAGTACTGTGCTGTAATGTATATTGCTGATGCTTTGCTCCAAATGCATAATTACGTATATATTTAAAATAAAATATTAGAACTGTTCTGTGAATGTAGTCCCCAATTGTCGATTATAGTCTGTAGTATTTTTGCCTCTTCAGCGATCTGTGTAACATGTTTGATACTTAAAATGTATGTTCTACACCATGGATGGGGAACACATGGCCTTCCAGATGATATCAAATTTTTGTCATCCTTTTGTGCCACTTTTGAGCCTTAAGAGGGGAAAATTGGACATAAATAAATCTTTCTCTATAAAAGTCAAAGTTTATTGGTTTGTACCATAAAGGTTCCCCCATCAAGAGTCCTCATCTGGGGATAGAGGTATGTCAACCATTCTAGATGGGGCTACACTCTTCCCTAAAAAGAGTGTGTTCAGAGCTTGGGAGTGCTCCTGGATCTGTCTCTCCAAATGTCAGCCCAGGTAGATGCGACAGTCAGGAGTACTTACTATCAGCTTTGGCTGATACGCTAGCTGCGCCCCTTCCTAGATTTGGAGGACCTGAAAATGACAGAAGGTGGTAACGTCAGTTCGGGGTTAGGGTAAGTGTTAGGCCAAGGTTTAGGGTTTGGGTTACGGTTAGGGTTTGCATAAGGGTTAGGGTAAGTTTCCCAGCTCCAGCAGACCTCACCTCTGAGGAAGCTTGCCATAGATGCAGGCGAAACGTCAGGAGAAATGCCTCTAGAACATGGCCATATAGCCCGAAAAAACCCAGAAGAACTGGGTTAGGGTAAGTGTTTGGGTGAGGTTTAGGGTTTGGGTAAGGAGTTAGGCTTAGGCTTACGGTACAGTTCAGGGTTAGGGTAAGGATTAGGGTAAAAGTTTCACAATTAAAGAATTCTTACATTCCTTCTATATTATCTGTCTCCGGCCTGGCTTACATTAGCTAAGTCTCTCTTGCACTGACAGTGCTCCCAAAGGAGCGATGCAGCATTTCCGTAACACTCGGTGCTTCCGGACCCAGCTATCATACTATTGCCGAGCTGAAGTCCTTTCAGCATTTTGGGGAGCAACACCTATGAAATAACAATTGTTGGGCAGCAATTTGGACTACATCTACACTGTAGAATTAAGGCAGTTTCACACCACTTTAACCACCGTGGCTCAATGCAATGAGTTCACTGTATTTATAGTTGGAACGACTAGACGACGAGTCCAGATAACGTTTTTAACAAGGAGACACTATGAATTTATATTTTATTGATTTGTTTAGTATTTATGTTATGTTTTTAATTGTATTTATGGCATTGTAAGCATTGAATTTTGCCCTGTTAACCACCTTGAGTCACCTATGGGCTTTATTTATTTGTCGTGTCAGGGCAACCAGTTATTATTTATTTATTTATTTATTTATTTATTTACAGTTCTTATATTCCGCCCTTCTCACCCCGCAGAGGACTCAGGGCGGATTACAGTAAACACATATATGGCAAACATTCAATGCCAGTTTGACAAACAACGTTTAACACACAAATACACCAAGGCTATTTAACTTTTTTTTTTTCTGGCCGCCAGGGGAGCTGCTGCTTTTCATCGTCCATCAACGACACCGATGAAGTTCTTCCGCATTCCACATTCCCCGGAGTCTTTTTTCTTTATGGCCTTCATAAATCAGTTAAATTTAGCCTCCCACACAAGGTGGTACCTTATTTTCCTACTTGACAGATGCAACTGTCTTTCGGGTTGCAAAGGTCGACAACGGGCTACACAATGGCTGGACACCCACTCCAGCCCGGGCTGGCTTCAAACTCATGACCTTTTGGTCAGAGTGATCTTAATGCAGCTGACACTCAGCCAGCTGCGCCACAATCCCACAATCTGTTACATTTCTAACAGAACAAAGCAAACAAACAGACAAAATACAAAATTTGTGAGTGTGGTTGTTGATTAAATGTCTTTTGACCAGTAGCTGGCCACTTGAAGTGCTTCTGGTGTTGCCGCAATGAGATCCTCCATTGTGCATGTAGCAGGGCTCAGGTTGCATTGCAGCAGGTGGTCAGTGGTTTGTTCTTCTCCACACTCGCATGTCGTGGATTCCACTTTGTGGCCCCATTTCTTGAGGTTGGCTCTGCATCTCGTGGTGCCAGAGCGCAGTCTGTTCAGCGCCTTCCAAGTTGCCCAGTTTTCTGTGTGCCCAGAGGGGAGTCTCTCCTACGGGCTGAAAAAGGCGGTATACAAATACAGTAAATAAATAAATATAGTTGGGTGAGGTACCAACACTCTTTGGCAGAGAAGGCGAAAGACCTTGTAAAACTACGATCATAGAAGAGACCTCGTGGGCCATCCAGTCCACCTCCCTGCCAAGAAGCAGGAAAATCGCATTCAAAGCATCCCCGACAGATGGCCATCCAGCTTCTGTTTAAAAGCCTCCAAAGAAGGAGCCTCTACCACACCTATGCGATCCTATGGGATCGAGGTATTGCAGCCTAAAGTAGTGTCAAGCTGAATTCCTTCCAACAGTGGAAAACAAAGGCTGGTTCCTCTGGCGGGAATGCACCGCATTGAAAACACCCTTCAAGGCTTTCCTGAACTTCCTGCAGGCTGGGTCATGTGGCCGCCCGGACCGGTCACGTGCCCCTAGCGCGCCTCAGCCAATCAGGCTCCTCCCAGCACTGCCCTCTTTTTTTTTCTTTTCCTTTTCCTCTTCCTTGGCTCTTGCAAGAGGCGGCGGCGGCGGCGGCGGCGAGGGAAGGCGAGGGGCGCGCGGCCCCAGCGCGTGAGTAGCAGCGGCAGGTGGGCGCCTCGTGCCAACCAACGGCCACCGCCTGAACCAGAAGGGGCGCGCGGCTGGGGGGAGGTGGGGAGGGGGAGGTTGTGGAGCCAGCCAATGGCTGCTGGAGCTTCGAAACGAGGAGGCCACGCCCACCATCCCTGTGGGAATGGCTTCTTCTCACTACTCCATGTATCCTTTCCTTGGCCCCTGGCTCTGCAGTTTGCCTTCTGTAGTTTCCTTCCTGCCCCTCAGGTTGGAAGAAGGGACAGCAGAGAAGGGCAGGGGGCAGAGGTGGGGGAGGGATCCCTCTCTTTTGGTGTCTCAGGGGTTACTTACACCAGGTAGGGGCAAACTTGGGCCTTCCCTCCAGGTGTTTTGGACTTAACTCCCCAAATAGAGGCAGTTAGGAATTGTGGGAGTTGAAGTCCAAAACACCTGGAGGGAAGGCCCAAGTTTGCCCATGCCTGATCCACACTTTGTAGTTTGGCACCACTTCACACTGTAGAATTAATGCAGTTTCGCACCACTTCAACCACCAGGACTCACTTGCCATGGAATTCTGGCCGCTGTCCTTCTTAAAAGGAGTTCAGCCTTCTCAAAGATCCTTGCCAGCTCCCAGGATTGAGTCAGGGTGGTTCGAGTGGTGCCAAACTGTGTTAATTCTACAGTGTGGATGCACCCTAACTCGGCCTTCTCCTTGCCACCACTAGACCAGCTTGTGGGTAGTTCATCTATGCCATTCGTTAAAGCCACAACTATTTATTTTATTTATTTATTTACGACATTTATATGCCACCCTTCTCACCCCAAAGGGGACTCAAAGCGGCTTACTAGTTATATGTAAATACATTATATTTATTATATTATTAGCATAGCACAATATTAGTAACATTCATTCCCATATTGTACTGCACCAGTATACTGTAATGTTATTAGTAATATTATGTGTAATATGAAATATATAATTATTATATTGTATTACATTATAATATTATCAATATTATATGTGTATACAATGTATTATATTGTCACCACAGCACAATATTAGTATTATGTATTACTATATTGTACTATACCAGTATACTGTAATATTATTAGTAATATTACATGTAATATAAACATATAATTCTTATATTTTTTATTATTATATTGTATTACATTATAATATTATTATCAATATTGTATGTGTATACAATATATTGTATTATTACCGCAGCACATCAGTAATATATTAGTACTATATTATATTATATTATATTAATAAATGAGCCTTAAAGTGCCAGTTTGAATAGCTGTAAAAGTGGTATTCGACT